GGGGGGGGGGGGGGGGGGGGGGGGGGGGCAAGGTGATTTGGGTGTTGGAACTGTGCAAAGAACACTGTAAATTACAGTGGAGTCAAGTTGCTGCATCGCGCAACATGCCCCAAGATAGGCCAGAGATGGCCCAACATAGAACCCAGGAACGCCCAACGTAGTCCCAAGCTGGGCCAACATAGGCCCAAGACGACCCAACAAAACCCAACATGGTCCCAAGATGGCCCCAAGATAGAGCCGCGATGGCCCAACATAGAACTCAGGAAACGCTGAGACGTTATCAGCGCCAGCCATGGGGGGTGGGGGGGGGCAGGGTGATTTGCAGACTTTTGGGGGTCAGCCTGCGTCATTTCAGGGTCAAGTTGGGGGTTTTGTTTGGCAATTTACGATTTTTTTGGGCTTATATTGGGCCACTTCGGGCCTATGTTCGGCCCTACAACATATTGGGTCAGTTGGAGGTCTTCATTTCAGGGTCAAGTTGGGGGTTTTGTTTGGCAATTTCCGATTTTGTTGGGCTTATATTGGGCCACTTCGGGCCTATGTTCGGCCCTACAACATATTGGGTCAGTTGGAGGGCTATATGTTGGGCTTATCTTGGCCCAAGTGGCCATATTGGGTCATTTCAAGGCTATGTTGGGCCTATCTGGGGTCATGTGCAGGCGTATTGGGCCACTTGGAGGGTTATGTTGAGATCTTGGAGGGCTATAAGGCCATATGCGGCTATTTCGAGCCAAGTGTGCTTGAACTAGAACGTTCTGTTTGTCTAAGGCCATTTTTCCTGCATGGGAGCTCAATTTTTGAATTTTTGGTGCTATGTTGCATGCAGCCTTTGGGATGTGTGATGTGCAAAAAACACTGTAAATACCGTGAAATCGTGAAACATTCGGAGCAATGTAGAAGCATTTTTTCAACCCCAACGGGAGAGCAACGTATTAAGATTCATTTAGGGTGTATTTTGGGCCTATCCTGCGTCATTTCAGGGTCAAGTTGGGGGTTTTGTTTGGCAATTTACGATTTTGTTGGGCTTATATTGGGCCACTTCGGGCCTATGTTCGGCCCTACAACATATTGGGTCAGTTGGAGGGCTATATGTTGGGCTTATCTTGGCCCAAGTGGCCATATTGGGTCATTTCAAGGCTATGTTGGGCCTATCTGGGTCATGTGCAGGCGTATTGGGCCACTTGGAGGGCTATGTTGAGATCTTGGAGGGCTATAAGGCCATATGCGGCGGCTATTTCGAGCCAAGTGTGCTAGAACTAGAACGTTCTTTTTGGCATCAACATAAAGACCTAAAGGAAGATGTGCGTTGACGCGATGCGGGGGCTTTTTTATTTTGAGGTCTTGGAGGGCTATGTTGGGTTTGTCTAAGGCCATTTTTCCTGCATGGGAGCTCAATTTTTGAATTTTTGGTGCTATGTTGCATGCAGCCTTTGGGATGTGTGATGTGCAAAAAACACTGTAAATACCGTGAAATCGTGAAACATTCGGAGCAATGTAGAAGTATTTTTTCAACCCCAACGGGAGAGTAACGTTATTAAGATTCATTTGGGGTGTATTTTGGGCCTATCCTGCGTCATTTCAGGGTCAAGTTGGGGGTTTTGTTTGGCAATTTACGATTTTGTTGGGCTTATATTGGGCCACTTCGGGCCTATGTTCGGCCCTACAACATATTGGGTGAGGTGGAGGGCTATATGAATGAACCCTGTGTTACGCTGTTCCCCCCTTGCTGACTCGCTTTCCGTTTTCTTCCGGACTGGTTTGCAGACGCCAAAGACTTGCATGAATATGTTCAGGAGAATGCCACTTGAGATCACATGAGTATGTTCATGATGTGTAGATGTCAAGAGAAGAAGATGTGAAGATGTGAAGATGAGAGGATGTGAAGATATGAAGATGTGAAGATGTGTAGATGTAAGGATGTGAAGATGTGAAGATGAGAAGATGTGTAGATGTAAAGATGTGAGTATGTGAAGATGAGAAGATGTAAAGATGAGAAGATGAGAAGATGAGAAGATGTGAGGATGTGAAGATGTGAGGATGTGAAGATGAGAAGATGTGAAGATGCGAGGATGTGAGGATGTGAAGATGTGAAGATGAGAAGATGAGAAGATGTGAGGTTGAGGATGTGAAGATGAGAAGATGTTAAGTGAAAATGTGAAGATGTGAAAATGTTTGACAGACCACCACTATTAGAAGAACCCTTCGCTCAGCCGCTCTCGGGAAAATCACATTCATATCGCTGTATGCTTTCTCGTGCAGTTTGCTTCACACATCATATTTCTCTATATGTTTGCGATTGCAAATCAGTGGTGTTTCATGCACCTTGTGTTACATTGCTTACATCAAACCAGCTCGTTGGATTGTGTTCTCTTGCTTTTCTTTGCCTGGATTGTTGTGCTGCTTGCCATGGGCTTTTCGGTCGTTAAGGACGACACTCAAGTGAAGAAGGCATGCCCATCGCCACAGGCCATTCAAAAATTAAAGCAAACGCCCAGTGGTTTACTGGACAAGAAGCGCGCCTACCTCATGAGCAGCGAGCCTCTGGCTGTGATTCAGCAAAACATATTGATTAATTTTGGATCTCTTGTGCACACCGAATGTACACGGAATGAACCAAACTAGGGTGTTTGTCGTCTTCAGCCCACTGGCGCACGCGGCGCAAAACTAAGGAATCGAAGCTGGCACATGCACTGGCAAAGATGATTTGCAAGGAACTGCGCCGCCGCGAATCAATTGTGCTCTCTTCGGACAGCGGCAGGGAGTGAGTTTTGTGGGTCTTTGACAAGTGCTGTGGCCCCATGAGAGCCAATAATGAAAGGTGAACTTCTGCTGCGTTGCATATTGCCTCCATTTTCGCGCGGGAACTTGGCAGACTTGCCGTATTGTTGCGATAGTTCTTTTTCTTATGATGTGCGCTGATAAAGGTTGTGTCAGCTGAGCCACGAACGCCATCCACAGTTCCAGCTGAAGCCACAACCGCAAACACCGACTAGAAAACTTGTTGTCACCTGCAATTGCTCATGAGCAATGCCATGAACAACAGTTGCTGGCTGGATATTAGTCATAGCAGTTTTTGGATTGCAGCTTGTATCACAACCTCTTTCACATGTCCTGTGACCTCTTGACATCAACACAACCCGCGCTCAAGGAAAGGAACTGCGGCGAAGCTTGATTTACAACAGTCACGCGGCAGCAGCAAGCTAATGATAAAAGAAAAAACATCAGCATGCCACGCAAACGAAGGCGATCAATGAATTCTTTGCACGGCTGGCAGTGCTTTGTGGACTGCTGACCAGCACAGCTACAGTAGTGATTACTTGCTTCATTTTTTGCCAACACGCGAGAGCTACACAGACATTACCCAGGGCACAGTGTTCAACTTGCTACCAGCCTGTGTTGTTGACACATCCTCTGGGTGTCTGCCAAAAATTGCTCAATCCGCTTTTGTGCTTGTGGTCTCAGCTGGTCCTTTCTAACGCATCTCTTTGCTTCCTTGTTATCAGGCGCTTGCTCCATACGTGGTGGGTTCTTGGTGATTTGCCCTGGTGTGATGAAACAGTGCACCTGGAATGTGTTGCTGAGGCGGCGAAAGAACCCTTTGGAATCCATGCATATGCTGACATTCTTCCTACTCTTGCGAGCTACGCGGGATGCTAGCTGCTAGTTGGTTTATTTCCTTTGCTTGGTGCTAGAGCCTATGGCGATGATTGCTCCATGTGCGGTGAAGCCTTTGTAAATACCCTTGCGCGATGTTGAGAAGATCAGCGATGTTGTTGCCACAAGACGGCAAGTGTATTTATCATATTTAGGCACAGGGTCTCCAATAGCAAAAGCTGGCCCAACCTTCCTATACACTGTTACATACCAAGGACCACCCTTTGCATATGCGGTTGAGGTTGTGTTTCTCTTCACATGTTGCGATTTGATATATCGCCATATTGCTCTTAATTCTTGAGCGGATCCTACTTCAAAACATTCAAAAACTGACGCGCTTAAATTAAGACGCCTTTGAAAAAGCAAGTTGACAAAATGTATACGGCGGTACAGCGTAGGTTATTTCGCCAGAGGGTATATATCATATATGTGGATGATTTACCAACAGCAAATTGGAACATATGACGTAAAAAAATAATGAGAAGACTCATCTGTGGTTCGGTTGTTTCAAAATGGGGCTTGGTTGGACAGGCTGTGGGTTTGGGTGCTCATGATCTCCTTGTTGTTAGGGGCTATGTTCACCAGTTACGAACCATCGCCATTTCTGATGAGAACATCACCTACAATGTGGGGCCCGTGGGGTCCCCAGTTCAAAGTTGTTTGGTAAACCCTTTGAACATCTATGAATAGTTATGAGTACCCAGGGAGTTATCAATTCAACATCCGGGACATCTATAATCATTGGAGTTATCAATTCAATTAATTCGCGCGGCAATTTTCCGAGGTTGGATTTCTTCGTGAAGCTGGGGCAAGCTTTGATCCCGAACAGGAAGGACAGTGGCGGCATCGTGGGCTTCAATGAAGGCCTCTCCCCGGTGGCCTACCTGGGCTCCTACTTCTACGGCATGCTGCAGAAGGGCCACACCAGTGATGGTCGGCAAGGTGGGGAAAAGTCGTAGAAATTCGACAACAAATCCGGGGTCGTCCGGGCTCAGATGTGGGTTCTGGAATGACCCATGGTTTTTCAGATGAAATGTGTCAAGGCATGTCAAGAACAGCAATGAAATCATCATCGGCTGATGAGGGGAAGACCCATTGCCCAGCATTTTTGGTGTGATCACCCAGGGCAAAATAGGGTTTTGACTGAATTCACACCTCATTTTCCCATCAAAAAACAGCAAAAAATCACAATCTTTGTCCAAAAAATTAAGGAACCGCAAATGCAATGATTGGACGTCTCATTTTCCCATGGAAAAACCGCGGGGAGGCCATGCCAATGTGGCGAACTGGGCCAAGCGTCGCCTCGGCAAAGGTGGGTCGCTTGGGCAAGACGAGCAGAACCGATCGGGGCAGATGTCTACATATAAGTAGGATATATCTGTACTTATGTTTACTATGGTTATAAATACTGTCTATATATAATATAGCATAGTAAGATATAGTAAGTGTATAGATTGACGAATATACTAGTTATATATGGATATATTATATATATATACACCAACATAGGTGAACTATGATATATCTATACTTACTATGATTACTATATGGTGCACTATACGGTAACCATATATACTGTAGTAAGTATAGATACATTAGTAGGGAGGAGATGGGGAAAAACCCAATACAGTAGTAGGGAACTTGACAATGGGGATACCATGGGTTTATTATGGGAAAAGCATCAATGGGAATACTTACTGGGGATTCATGGGAACTGGCATTTTAATAGTCGGTACTCTAGGTGAATTCTATGATTTATGGTGCATGTATATATATATATATTATTATATATATATATACACACTTACTATGGTTTACAAAAAGTATTATATAACTGGGGGGCACCACCCTGTGGGTCTTATCATTTGATACTACAAAAATAAAGGGTGCTGCGAAAGGCGGGAACAGCACAAGGGCCAAGGGGATCGACTCCACGGATTCAACCAATGGGATTTCACCATGGGATGAAGCAACAAGTGACTGGTATCCAATATACCATTAGTAGGGTTTTCCAGAATAAACCATCCAGAAATCCATCATGTAGATGGTATCTATAGAATAGATGGTATCTAATCTGGTTTCTGGTTTGGAACATGAATTTTATGACTTTCCATTTATTGGGAACAATGATCCCAACTGACGAAGTCATACTTTTCAGAGGGGTTGAAACCATCATATGTCCCTGTGTCTTGAGTTTTACCGTTTTACCTGTGGCGGCCAATGGCAAATTCTTACTCCTTTTGGGGCCAGTGAATGCGGAGCCCGTTCACCATTTCAGAGACACCCAGATCATATCAAGCTGCCCCATAGCTTGCAATAAATATCCCCAGCATATTCAGGTCCAAAGGCCAGGTCCCCCCTCCCGTCACTCATGGTTGGATATATATATATATATATATATATTGTCCCATGATATCCCATTATATCCCAATAACTTTCAATAGTTCGTTAATATCCTATTGTACTTAACATCATGATTCATATCATATTGTATCCCCGTTATTGTCATCGTACATTCGAACAGAACATGGATATCCCAAATTATGGAATATATATATATATACATACATATACATATATGTATATATACATACATATACACATATATATATATATATTCCCGCACTAATGCACTGTCAGTTGTTAAACAGTACTGTTTTTTTAAACTATTTTGGCAGTTTTTATCCCTTAAATCTCATGAAGTCCTGTCTTCCATCCCTTTTTTTCATAGTGAAATCCATGAAATCCCTATGAAACCCCAATTGTTCATAGTAAAACACCATGAAGTTACATGAAATCCCATGAAATTTCGTTAAAATCGGCATCTACATCGTCTTCGAAGATTTCGCGTCTCGCGTTACGCCCAGGTTATTTGCGGAACAGGTGGGCGCCCTGGCTGTGCCGGTGAACGAGCTGCTGAGCGCCTCGGTGACATGGACAAGTGACTGAGCCCAGGGCAGCCACGTCCAATTTATGTCTGTTGCGTTGGATAAAGAACCAATCCAGTGAAATTATAAGTGGCTTAACTATGGTTTATGGTAGAGATAAGGGGTTTATAAGTCAACTTATACTGGTTGGTGGTTTGGAACATTTTTTATTTTATTTTCCACAATATATGGGAATGTCATCATCCCAACGGACTTTCATATTTTCAGAAAGGTTGAAACCACCAACCAGAAAACCCATCCCAATAAATCACATCTTACCCCAAATATATGCCAAATATTCCCAAATATTCCCAAATTACGAATCTTACTCTCTCAAACATGCTTCTTTTATCATGTGGATTAGATGACTGTCCATCTCCATGGGAGATGTCTTTCTACAGATGTGGCAAGGTCCGAGTGGTGAGCTGCCAGATCAGGATTGAACCACAAATGGTGAACTGCCCATGGCTTTCCAGTAATTTAACGTAGCTATGGAAAATCACCATTTTTGATGGGAAAATCCACTATAAATCAGCATTTTCAATAGCTATGTTAGTTTACCAGAGGGTAATGATTTTTCAGGAGGGTGCACTATACAACTCTCAGATTTTTTGGAGTGTAAGATTTGATCACCATCAAATCGTGGCACAAAACATGAATGATGGACAACCCATGGATTAACGGTAGATCTACTGGTTGGGTGGTTTATCTACCAACAGAAATGGTGACGTAAGCAGCTTTTTGGGTTTGTAAGCAACAGGAATTGGGATTAGATCAGGGAAACAATCAAGTAGCCAAGATACCCTCTGGTAAACGTTTACGTAACTATGGAAAATCACCATTTTTAATGGGTAAATCCACTATAATAAATGGCCATGGCTTCAATAGCTATGTAAACGTTTACCTGAGGGTAGGTCTGAAACCCGGTGCAACCGATCGGTCATTTTTAGGCATCCAAAGAATTGTACCAGGTCACTCGGTTCCGTTTGTTCGCGATTAGTTCTGTTGTTTTTCAGATTGACATTTTTTTGGCACCAATTGATAGGTGATGGTAGATGCCATGATTAAGAAAGTGGAAACCCACACAAATACTGGTTGGTGGTTTGGAACATGACTTTTATGACTTTCCATTCAGTTGGGAATGGAATAATCATCCCAACTGACTTTCACTCCATCATTTTTCAGAGGAGTAGGTGGCCCCCACCAACCAGATCCACATGATTTTCCGCTTTAATCATCCACAGCAGCAGGACTCAAAGTCCAGTTTTCGCCAGACCTACCCATCCTCCATCCCCACAGGAGACTACATGGGCCGACAACAGGAAAAGTCGCCTGGCTGGGCATGCAGAGTTTCATGGTTGGTTTAAAGCTGCTTAGAATATAACATAATATATATATATATATACACACATACCACTTTTATATAGTAATTTCTTATACACATACACTAATCAGCACTTTTACAACTGGCTGAAAAGGGGATCACATTGAGTGGAGTTTGCATCTGTCCTTTTTTTCAGCGCAGCAACTCTTGCACGGCCCTGATGGATAGCAGGACTCCATCAACTGGGCTGATTTGAGGAACCTCAAAGCCGTCTACCATGCTATGCCCATTGAAATTGGCCATTGAAATTGGTGGAAAATCATGATGAAGCAGTGGATAAACTTGAATCAAGCCTATTGTTCGAAAAAACCCGCGGGAAGCATCCCATTTAAGCCCATTCTCCTGGCCAGCCTTTAGATTTTGGTGGCCAGCGTTTAGCTCATCCAAGTGATCTCAAGGATACATCGCCAGATTGGATAGCCATCGGAATGGCCATGTCACGTCGTCACATTATGATGGCCATTCATCCCATGATCATGGCACAGCGAAAAAGCTAACCACAACTGATCCATAGGCATCCCAGCCCCATTCCACTTGGAGGATCATCCCACTCGGTTCTTGTGGTTTGAAACAAAAAAGCGTCAACGTTCGGTGAGTAAGTCTTCGAAAGAACCGGGTTATCCCATATCTAGCTGGGTTATTGATATGGTTATTAACCACTAACTGGGTTGATCCTCCAAGAAAACGGTCCCTTTCCCTTTGGTAGATCTACACCAAAAATTTTGCCCAGCGCTTTTGAGTGGAAACTCATCGTCCAGCCCCCAGGGTCGAACTGTTAATTTACTGACGAATATTTACCCATAATCCCTTTATTTACTAAACCACAAAAATCTGAATGTGAACGTTTCATCCTCCAAGCCACCACGGAATTCATCGACGTCCCCGCAGGCACTGGTGGTTGGCCCTGCTGGTGAATCCCCGTGCGCCGTGTCCCAACGACGGACCTCTCCAAGAAGCTGTCAGCGTGGCCTGGTCTCGACGTAGCAACCAGGGGTTTCCGAAGTCATGGGAGTACCCCCAGTCATCATCCATTTACAGATGGGATTTTTAGTATAATTTTCCACAATAAACCATCCAGCTATTGAGATTTTTGTTTTTCCATTTATAGGGCTACCCCCAGTCATCATCCATTTACAGATGGGATTTTTAGTATAATTTTCCACAATAAACCATCCAGCTATTGAGATTTTTGTTTTTCCATTTATAGGGCTACCCCCAGTCATCATCCATTTACAGATGGAATTTTTAGTATAATTTTCCACAATAAACCATCCAGCTATTGAGATTTTTGTTTTTCCATTTATAGGGCTACCCCCAGTCATCATCCATTTATAGATGGGATTTTTAGTATAATTTTCCACAATAAACCATCCAGCTATTGAGATTTTTGTTTTTCCATTTATAGGGCTACCCCCAGTCATCATCCATTTACAGATGGGATTTTTAGTATAATTTTCCACAATAAACCATCCAGCTATTGAGATTTTTGTTTTTCCATTTATAGGGCTACCCCCAGTCATCATCCATTTACAGATGGGATTTTTAGTATAATTTTCCACAATAAACCATCCAGCTATTGAGATTTTTGTTTTTCCATTTATAGGGCTACCCCCAGTCATCATCCATTTACAGATGGAATTTTTAGTATAATTTTCCACAATAAACCATCCAGCTATTGAGATTTTTGTTTTTGTTTTTTTTTTTTCCATTTAATAAGGGCTACCCCAGTCCTCAATCCATTTACAGATGGGAATTTTTAGTATAATTTTCCACATAAACCATCCAGCTTTGAGATTTTTGTTTTCCATTTATATAGGGCTAAACCCCCAGTCATCACATCCATTTACAGATGGGATTTTTAGTATAATTTTCCACAATAAACCATCCAGCTATTGAGATTTTTGTTTTTCCATTTATAGGGCTACCCCCAGTCATCATCCATTTACAGATGGAATTTTTAGTATAATTTTCCACAATAAACCATCCAGCTATTGAGATTTTTGTTTTTCCATTTATAGGGCTACCCCCAGTCATCATCCATTTATAGATGGAATTTTTAGTATAATTTTCCACAATAAACCATCCAGCTATTGAGATTTTTGTTTTTCCATGAAATAAACTATCCAGCAAGCTTGGGGTACCCCATATGACTTAGGAAGCCTGCAAATATGTAAATTTCATGGAAAATCTGATGAACATGGATGATTGAGGGGTACCTCCATGACTTAGGAAATTTCCAAATGATGATGTAAATGATACCCTGAAACATGGTCAATACTTGTCAATTTTACTAATTGTTCTTTGGGGAAAATGGCATGATTTGTTTTTTTTTGGTTAGTTGATTCAACCTGGATTCAAGTTTAAATCATTTAAATCATTTTTATTTGGGATGACCCCAGGAATTGGGGACTCAGCAGCTGGGACATGATGACCTTCAGTGGCGGTGAATCTTTGAACTCAACGGGCCATCTGTATCATAGCAAACTGTTAGACTACCACTTACTAACCAAGCTATACCCCTGGTTTTCTTAGTGGGATAAGTAGCCTTAATCCGCTTAGACTTATATCTGGGGTGTCTTAAAATAGGGCTACCCCCAGTCATCATCCATTTATAGATGGGATTTTTAGTATATTTTTCCACAGTAAACCATCCAGCTATTGAGATTTTTGTTTTTCCATGAAATAAACTATCCTGCGAGCTTGGGGTACCCCATATGACTTGGGAAACCTGCAAATATGTAAATTTCATGGAAAATCTGATGAAAATGGATGATTGAGGGGTACCCCCATGACTTAGGAAATTTCCAAATGATGATGTAAATGATACCCTGAAACATGGTCAATACTTGTCAAATTACTAATTGTTCTTTGGGGAAAATGGCATGATTTCGTTTTTTTTTGGTTAGTTGATTCAACCTGGATTCAAGTTTAAATCATTTAAATCATTTTTATTTGGGATGACCCCAGGAATTGGGGACTCAGCAGCTGGGACATGATGACCTTCAGTGGCGGTGAATCTTTGAACTCAACGGGCCATCTGTATCATAGCAAACTGTTAGACTACCACTTACTAACCAAGCTATACCCCTGGTTTTCTTAGTGGGATAAGTAGCCTTAATCCGCTTAGACTTATATCTGGGGTGTCTTAAAATAGGGCTACCCCCAGTCATCATCCATTTATAGATGGGATTTTTAGTATATTTTTCCACAGTAAACCATCCAGCTATTGAGATTTTTGTTTTTCCATGAAATAAACTATCCTGCGAGCTTGGGGTACCCCATATGACTTGGGAAACCTGCAAATATGTAAATTTCATGGAAAATCTGATGAAAATGGATGATTGAGGGGTACCCCCATGACTTAGGAAATTTCCAAATGCTGATGTAAATGATACCCTGAAACATGGTCAATACTTGTCAAAATTACTAATTGTTCTTTGGGGAAAATGGCATGATTCGTTTTTTTTTGTTAGTTGATTCAACCTGGATTCAAGTTTAAATCATTTAAATCATTTTTATTTGGGATGACCCCAGGAATTGGGGACTCAGCAGCTGGGACATGATGACCTTCAGTGGCGGTGAATCTTTGAACTCAACGGGCCATCTGTATCATAGCAAACTGTTAGACTACCACTTACTAACCAAGCTATATCCCTGGTTTTCTTAGTGGGATAAGTAGCCTTAATCCGCTTAGACTTATATCTGGGGTGTCTTAAAATAGGGCTACCCCCAGTCATCATCCATTTATAGATGGGATTTTTAGTATATTTTTCCACAGTAAACCATCCAGCTATTGAGATTTTTGTTTTTCCATGAAATAAACTATCCTGCGAGCTTGGGGTACCCCATATGACTTGGGAAACCTGCAAATATGTAAATTTCATGGAAAATCTGATGAAAATGGATGATTGAGGGGTACCCCCATGACTTAGGAAATTTCCAAATGATGATGTAAATGATACCCTGAAACATGGTCAATACTTGTCAAAATTACTAATTGTTCTTTGGGGAAAATGGCATGATTCGTTTTTTTTTTGTTAGTTGATTCAACCTGGATTCAAGTTTAAATCATTTAAATCATTTTTATTTGGGATGACCCCAGGAATTGGGGACTCAGCAGCTGGGACATGATGACCTTCAGTGGCGGTGAATCTTTGAACTCAACGGGCCATCTGTATCATAGCAAACTGTTAGACTACCACTTACTAACCAAGCTATATCCCTGGTTTTCTTAGTGGGATAAGTAGCCTTAATCCGCTTAGACTTATATCTGGGGTGTCTTAAAATAGGGCTACCCCCAGTCATCATCCATTTATAGATGGGATTTTCCCATGGATTTCCCCTAAGAAAAACCATCCAGCTGCACCAAGCTTCAGGAATCCATCCCTGTGGCCGAGGCCATGATTCGAATTCCTCCAAGATGATTGCTTATTCATTCACTTGGAGATGTGGTACATGTACATATTTTGATACATTTTGTATATGCAATATTATTCAATGTATATATACGTATATATATATATGGTTACTAAGAATTATTTCCAACAGCCATATCATGTTTCCTTATTGGTTCTCCCCCAATAAAGTAGCGGAAACAAATAAAAACTCCAATTTCAATTTTCAAGGTCATGCCCCATAGTTAGCTACCTTGATAACTACATGAAATGCTCAGTTTTTGGTGGTGATATAAACATATTTACCATCTGGAGACTTAACAGAGCTATTGAAGATGGTCCATTTACAGATCATTAACCTATCAATATGGTGATTTTCAATAGCTATGTTAAATTACCAGAGGGTAGATGGGTTGACGAAGCAGCCAAAATCATTCAGAGGCCTTCTTGTAAGTATATATATATATATATATATTTAACCGCCATTCTGACAGTTATATCCCAACTTCTGGGGTAATATCACCATGGATATACCTATGTAATCACTCACCCGAAATTTAGTAGTGGATCTATTCATTTTTCGGGACTGGTGCGTATTTCATTTTAAGGGGATGGGATTATATCCTCAAATTAGATGGGCAATAAACAAAAGTGTATACAATTTACATCCACTTACAGCATGATTTTCCCATGATTCTCATATATATATATATATATATATTTTTTTCCCCCTATATTTTCCCATGATTTCCCATGATTTTCCCAGCTTTTCCCTGGTTTTTCCCGTTTTTTCCACCGCTCCCCGGGTTTTTTTCAACCTAGGTGAGCTGCCTGGATTCCTTCGCGCGCACGGGCATGCGCTACAAACCCCCGCGCCGAGCCTTGAAGGTGGAAAAGGACAGTCGCAATGAGGCTGGATGGCTGGGCTGGAGGTGTGGAATTTACTATGGTATCCTCTGGTAAACTAACATAACTATGGACAGATCCACCATTTTTAATGGGAAAACTCACTATAAATGGTCATTTTCAATAGCTACGTTAAATTACCAGAGGGTACTATTAGTACGCTACATATATATATATACATATATATATACACATGATATTGTATGGATATTGATATTGTATGACAACAACTATATATATATATATCAACATCTATATGATCATTAATATGTACAATTCTTAGTTATGACATATACCTCACTTGACAATCCCACCTCCACCAGCCGCAAGGCCTACTTCGTAGAGGTGAGCAGTTTCAGCCGTTCGGGCTTTGTGGCTCTGATCGCCTTCCGCGCACAAGGCGCTATACGGAGAAGCCAGGGCGCTGGTGGTTGAAATCTTATGTTTATCTTATGCTTATCTTAGAGAAATGTGGTTAATTAATGTTAATTAATCTTAATTATGGATATGTAATGCCAACAATCCTTTAGTTAAGTATCCCATATTGTTATAAGTTATCTTAGATAGTTATCTTATAGTTATCTTAGACATGTGGTTACTTGGAGGTTTCCTCGTCGTCAGGGGGATCCCTTTATCGCTGGATGGTTGATTTCATGGACGATCCCGCCAGTTTAGGAAACCTCCAATGATTACCCTCCAGTAAATTAACATAGACCCTGCCAGATAGGGGTTGGAAGACTAGTTTCCACTATAAATTGGTGATTTTCACGGTCTATGTTGATTTACCAGAGGGTAATATGTATATATTGTGCCAGCAATCCGTTAGTTATCCTTGTTTATTTTTTTTGCTATGTGTGTTGGGGATGGGGTGCCATGAATGGAGGTACTTTGGATGTATCTGAAAACCACGAATAAACATCATAAGACCCTCTGGTTGTTTCATATAGCTCTGGAACAATGGGGAAATATAGATGATTGTTTTTCTGATTTGATCAAAGTAAAAACCGGCCATGGTTTGAATAAACATGGGGTATACGGTTGCCCAACAGTTGAGTTGTACCAACCATTTACCAATCACCGATGCTCTGTGATGTTGCATCAGAATCCATCTAGACATATAGCATATGAGAAGCGTGATACCAATCATTGCCCAATCATAACAATGTGCAAGTCACTATTATAACAAATCCCAATCTTATGACACCAAATGGTCAAATTGGCAGTTACGTATGGTAATGTAGTATGATATATTTCTGTTTCCTATCTTTTTCAATTGTAGCCAAGCCCTTCACCATGGCAACATATGGCAACTATGTTTACCAAACATTTACATTGCAGCAATCTATCAACCGCTTACAAGCCATAAACCATTGGCCTTGACCAAACATTAGCAGATCAACAACATCAACGATTCTTTGATCCATTTAACCCCCATGAAAAACCCTAGGTTTTTCACATGCTTAAAACGATGTGGACAACAATGTGACATGTTTCCCATTTAGAACATGATCTGCATTCATGTTCTTCTTCCAACATCTTTGCTAATTAGTTGGCGCAAATTCCGCTTACTAAACGGGGCTGATTGAATCCACTTATAAGTGGCATGAGCACCCCATGACCAGAACCCATCACTGCATGCAGGCGATGGTTCGCTGGGTCCCTTACTGGACCCGCGGCTCTCGCGCTTGCAGTTCGGACATCGGGTCGCTTGACCACAAAAAAACATTGGCCGAAAAAACGTTCGGAACGTTTGAGGTTGATTTAGCATCAATTCATGAAATTTAGTCAAAATATAGTGGGATTTAATGGAGATTTAATGGGATGTACGACTATAAGGGAAATATAATGGGAATACACTGTGATTTACTGGAGGTTTTAATGGAGATTTGATAGGAATATACTAGGAATATTATGTGATTTATATACTGGGGGTTTAATTAGATTTAAGAGGACTATATACACATAATATCTGGGTAAATTATAACGACCTCACTACGACCTCACTGGAATCATAGTTAATAAGGGGAAGCATCCCCAAATGGCCTTAATTCAGGTTAGTGAAATATTATAATTTACCCAGATAATATATGTATATATATTATATGTATATATGACTGCAATGTATACATATATCATGGGAATATGTGATTGAATGTGGATTTCATAGGATTTAACTGGATGTAATCGGAATATCATGGATAATACATAACAATCAACAAGAACTATCTGGGTTTGTGTGAAAATGGTGGATACCTAGAAACATGCAATGTTAATGGAAATACGGCTGATGATTCATGTTTGGGGTAACCTATCTTCAGTTAACACACGCTGGGGGGTGTTGAAAAACATCAATCATTGGAACCATCGTTCAACAAGATTTCGGAACATCTACAAAAATATTTGCTCTAGGCTCCAAAATCGAAAATCACCTGAAGAAATGGATTTGACAACGGATTTGGGGGTTCTTAACATGTTTTGAGCCTTAAAAATGGAGGTCCCAGTGAGGTAGTTCAGATTCCAAGCTTAACTTTGCAGATCTGAGGTGATCAAGGAACCTGAATTGGATTTGAAGGTTCGAAGCTTGGAAAACAATAGGGCAACCTGGAGCTGCCTGGTGGGCTAGAATCTTCTGTGGATGTAAATATTCATACATGTTACAGTAACATGTTATATATATATATTATGTTTCTACGTGCAGACGCGTATACATCAAGGATTGTATGTTCGTATTAGCATGTACTACTGACACCCTATATATATATATATACATATACAATATGTATATAATATTTCATAAATACAAACATTATGCGATTTGCAGTTTGGAGAGGCTTTGGAAGATCAGGCGCCAGGTGGTTGACCATATTGAAGTCGCACGTGGATACGGCTCTCCCGGTGAAGCACTTGGGAAAACCTTTCGTTGAACTGTCCCAGTCATGACACCTTCGGTGAAATCTTCATGTTCCTGGTGCCCCATTGATTCATCGTTGGGTTTTTGGTGATTAGATTGGTCATAAATAATATAAATAATAAACCAAGCAATAACTCGGCAACAGAAACCGAGGAAATTTACATTTTAGCTACATGTTAATTTGAAGCCAGGTTGCCTTTCACCACGGTCTTGTTACGACAACATCTCCGAGGAAACTATGGCGACCATGGTGTGCCAGGGGTTTTAGAGGGCACGTTAGAGTTCGCTTTTGATTCCTCCACGCGAATCTGTGGTGAATATACGCTGCACTATGCGGGCGTACCTTGAAGGGGGAAAGGGGATGCTGGGGGTTTTAGGGGTGGTTCCCTATGTTGGGAGGTATGGGATGAATGATATGCAGGTAGGCTGCTTCTCTATATATATAATATATAATTAATATAATTAGTGTAATACTAACAATAACAATAGCAATAACAATAATATTGATGATAATAATGAGAATAATGATGATAATAATGATAATGATAATAAATATGCAGACGCATGACCAGGATGATATTTGATACTTGATTCTATTCACAGTTATAAGTACAACATGGACCAGGGAACAACACAAATCATTTTCAGTGTGCCCAATGTTCACCCATAGCCCTATTGAAACCTCTACATAGAAGGACCTGAAATGACAGGCATGTTTGGACACGCCGCAAGAGAGTACTTGGGTTCAAAAAGTATCGCTCCTGACTCAAACAAACTTGTGAAAGAGCAGGTTGTGCATGATATTGTGTATATATAAGATATATAATGGATAAGGTATTTGCTATTTTCTTCAGAACAGTAGAGACACTTAATCTTGCTCAGTGGATTTGTCTGAAAATAGGGTAATTACCCCAAAATCCAACGGATAATCATCATTGTCCTTTTCAAGCTGCAAATATTTGAGGATATCCCACATCTTCAGAGCCAAGTGCTCCTGCATGTCGCTTAAGTTGCCTTGACAGTCCACCCATGTCCACCCATGTCTTTTCAGGGTCCCAAACATATGTTTGCTATGTAGCTTATGGCTTACGTAGCAAACAGGTAAACCCAATAGTGAAGCATCCCCAGCTTTACCAGAAATGGGTGGATAATGGGTGGTAAAGATAAAGACCATACCCAGACTTAACTGGAGGCTTATTGTTAGGGTTACCACCATTAGTTGTTTTCCAATCTAGGTTCTCTTTCCATCCCCCTGTGTTGAATCGTCCAGCCCAACCGGCATACAAAAAAAGGGTTTCGGCACTACACCAACTACCATCAACTAACATCAACCAACATCAACAAATGACATCAACCAACATCAAGCAGCACTAACCTTAAACTTGATCTAGAATGATCTAGATCAAACAACGTCTCTGGCCTCTGGCTCTACGGCCCTCGGTCCGTGTAGAAACGCAGCGCTTCCTCGCTGAGGTGGGGGAGTATAAGCCTGCCCTGAAGTTGGAGCTCCGCAGAGAACCCAACCAATCGCAGCTGCAAGTCTCAAAGCTCTTAGGCCCGGCTCGACTTCGGAGATGTCTGGGACGAGGGATTTTTTCCAGACGGAGATGTCTGTCTATACCCTATATAATCTGTATATCATCTGTATACATATGATGTTTCATTGGGAGATGAGTCAGATGAGAAAAAATGCCCATGTTATCCGAAAAGACAATGCACCAATTGCAAGGTCCTCAGCCTATTCCTGGCATCACTTGAGGAACCCCAACTCCTGGTGGATTATCGTGGCTTCTCAGTGCAGTTTCTAGAGTAATCACATACTAATCTGCTTGGTGGTTTCAAACCTGTTTTTTTTTCCCATAAAAAAAATGGGAATAATAATCCCAACTAACTAATAATGACTAATATTTTTCAAGATGGTTAAAACCACCAATCAGCAATGGATGTTAATGGATGTGTTTGGATATTTTGAATCAACGGTTAGGTGATTTGGACAAGAACGGCTTCTTATGGCGATATTGTACAGCGAGTTTCTGATGACATAGTGAAGGGATCAACATTTGTAACCCAACGAACTGAAATGACAAGAATCAAAAATCAAAAACCTCCATTTCTGAAACTCCCAATTAATCAACATAATTATATCAACCATCTTTCCCCCACCTTTTTTTTCCCCCCTTTTTTTGTGCCACGGCGCAAAAGGCGGCTACTGCGGGAAGGAGTTCGAGCTCTCAGAAAGCGCGGTGAGTTACAGCGACGCCCAGGTAGCGGAGGCCTTGCAGCTGGCAGACACGCCGCAGCAGGAGACCGTGGCTGCAGCAGATGGCTGGGAAAGATTCATGGAAAACTAATATGGGAAATTAATGGAAATGATATGGGATATGACATGAAAGATCCATCCATCAATCAATGAATCAAATATCAATCAAGATAATCGATTCAAGACAATCAATCAATCAAATATCAATCCAGATAATCAATCAATAAATAAATAAATCAACCAATCAAGCAGTGAATCCATCAATCTGAATGATCATGTAAGAATATCTTAAGGTTAAGTAGATGTTTAGGATATTTTTAGTTGAAGATTTTGAACATTTGGGAGGTGTAAAGCTGGGAAAATCATGCCAGAAGCAGAGTAAACTGAGATTTGGTCAACCCGTGCCGGGTCAGGGTTGGTGATTTGACCACCTTACATCTAGATGTACCCTCTGTTCCTTATTTGTTGGTGTATCCTCCGACACCAGCAGTAGAAATGTCGAGACCTATCAAAATCCACCATTTGTAATGATTCTCTGAAGGAAACAACAGACTGTTCATGTTTACCTTCTACTTGATTCTTTCCCTGTATCATTGAATTGTTGCAGTTTAATATGGATATTCGGCTGGTAGCTCGGGCTTAGGCTAAAGAACAATAAGCCCCAAACTGGATGATTCTCTACAAAGAATGACCATATGGTATGTGCCATTGCAGTTTGACCCCAGTTGTTTTTGTAAGGGGCTAGTATCAATAGGGATTAATGATGAATGTATAACAATTAATAAGGGTCATCAGCAATATCCATTAACAATAGGGATTAATACCAGGGACTAGGGGCTAGTATTTAATCCCTATTTGTTATTCATTATGGGGCCATGACAATCACAATCATTAATGATTAATGTATCTATGAATTCTGGTATCCCATTGATGGTGGACCCCCATTCATCCCACAATGTGGGGCTCCAACACGCATAACTCGTGGGCTCCACATTACATGTATATAATGATTAATTGCTGGGATGACCATAACCCATACATGATTTTACATGGTCACATGGTTGGTTCTCTCTCTAGATCTATAGATCTATATATATATTATATACATATATTATATCATAATATATCATATATCACTATGTATTGTACATGTAGTATACCCCATTCATCCCTTGAATTTAATCCCTATATCTATCCCGTCGTCCTCATCCCATGTGACTGGAGGAGAGCGCCCATGACTGCGGTTTCTTCATCCTGGAGCAGGCGAGAAACCTACAAGGTGGTGCCCCAGTTCGTTAGCTAAGTTGGTGAACATAACTCCCATTAAACCTATGGTTTATGGTAGATATAACGAACTAGTATTCATGGGGTGAATATAAACCAACAAACATCACTGGGGAAAAACCATCCTGTATGTCTTAGGCTTAAGACATCATAAGACTAGTTCGGGATTTTCGATGTTTGCCATTTTGAAGGGGGATCAATAGCCCAAAATCGAGGAATCGATGGGAAGGATCGGGATTTACCTGCTGGTACCCAAGGCACTCAGTCCGTCCCGAGATTGCCATGGGGAAACCCACGCCGCAGATAACACAGCCTGTGTGCTGTCAATTGGAGAACAATTCTGGTGGGTAGTGACAAGACATCCATCTGGCAGAATCTGGCTGATGCCTCTCTATGCGAAACATTGTACCAGTTGGAGAGCAATTCTGGTGGGTAGTGACAAGACATTGCGGATAGCTTTTCTGCCCCTACGAAGGAGTACTTTGCCAGCATCGGGCAAAGTGTCGAAGCCCTTCCAGGGCGGCTTTCTCTCCAGAATGACTGCTGATGAGTCGTTTTGTGAATATTCATTTATAATTTATATATATATATACATATTGGTGAGTAGATGGGTCTGCCACATTCTTGCACTCAAATTCTTCGGCTCCAGCAGGAGGTCAACCAATAGGACCGGGTAGAATCGCTCCAGAATCTCCAGCGCCGTCCATCTCCAGCAGCCCCCTTGGCATCGTATCGGTTACCTTGTTTTGGGCTTCTATTGCTATAAGTTACCTAGTTGGTGGTTCTATTCTTTTCATTTTGTTTTTAAATCATTTTAAATCCTATACCTGGAATGCTGTCCATCTCATCTATCCATCTCTCTCTCTCTCTTTCCATTTGTATCAACGTATCCAGCCAGCCAATCCAACAGTGTCTATACGCACTTATACATAATGTATACGATATATGTATACCCTGGCCTTCCAAGACTGCTAAATTTACGTGCTAGGTGCAGATGTTGAATGTTTTGGAAGGCATTTTTACTTGACCCTGCAGCTTTTTTATGTGTCCCTTTGAAATTGTGGAGTTTTGTCCCCAGGAAAACCATAGACGTTTGGCGTAGAACGGACAAACTGTTTTGCTCAGATTTCAGGGTTGCTTTGGCAAGTAAAAAGGTTAGCCACATATCTGGTTGGTGGTTTGGAACTTGAATCTTATGACTTTCCATATATTGGGAATTTCATCATCCCAACTGACGAACTCATATTTTTCAGAGGGGTAGGTCAACCACCAACCAGTATTTCAGATATTTCCACCAGAAAGCATGTGATACAAAACCATTCAGACGATCGGCAACCCCGCTGCAGCAAAGACATCCTCTGTTACTGTAATTACAACGCCTGTGATTATTGCATGCTTTGGACCTATTGGGTATATAGTATATATATATTGTAATATGTATATGTATCCATATTAAAAGTCATGTAAAACAGAGGAAATCCAATCTTTTCTACTCCAAATCATTCCAATTCCATCGAATCCAACACATACCATAGACAGTTCACATAGAACATTAATATTTCAGCAGAAAACCATCTTTTTTATCATTCAAAACCACAGGGTCACAATTATTAAGTTGCCTTAGAATATCCTGACATTCTTTAAACAAAAACTTAGGAATCCACCATTCTTAAACACACTATCATCATCATCATCATCATCATCGTCATCATCATTATCATCATCATCATCATCATCATCATACTATTGTCGCTAGTGGACTATTCACCATTAAAAAATCACCAATATTGGCTTCATTCACCAGTATATTCACCACTAATTATTAGGAATTCACCATTAATTACCATTATAATACATATTTACCATGATATTCACCATATTTCACCATGATTGTCGCCATTATTGCCCTCAAAAAGGCCCTCATTATTAGGAATTCACCATCATATTCACCATTATAATCTCCATATGTCACCACTATGAACCACTATTTACCAATATCAACCATTATGAAAACCATGATTTACCGTTGTTGACCATTTTTTTCGCCCATGATTCACCATCAAAACCCTCCGTGCCGTGCCGTGTCGGGCGCCAGGTTCTTCGGCTGCTTCAGCTGAGTCCCACGGCGCTGCGCTCGCTGGCGTCCAAGTCCACCGAGGACATCGCCTCGCTACCGTGGCCCTCGCAGCGCGCGCCGCGGCGGTTCGCAACGGCGTGGAAGGGGTGGGGAGTGGGGCGAGGTGGGTGATTTTTTCGGGAAAATCATTCCAAACATATGGTAAATCATGGTTTTCATAATGGTTGATATTGGTAAATAGTGGTTCATAGTGGTGACGTATAGAGATTATAATGGTGAATATGATGGTGAATCATGGTGAATTTCACAAACTCATTAACGCATGGTTAAAATTATTCTTGGTTAACTATAATGGTGAATAATTTTGGAGACACTTAAATATAGATTATCCCAACTATATTTATCTTGATGTCTTGGTAAAAATTTATGATTTATGATTTACCATCTGGGATTAATTATGGTAAATATTTAATGGATTATCCCAAGGAAACTATTTTTGATTGTCTCCACAAGATCATCACCAAAAATATGGTGAAGAATGGTTCACCAACACACATGGGACAATGGGGGGTTCACCAACTTGTAACTTGATACGATGTGTGTCTTGATTCTGTTCAGATGTATCATGGTTGTTATGATTTAAAAGGATAACCTGAACTGAATCATGGTCCTTGATTGATCTTTGATGGTTGGTGGTTTAGAAGGAAGATGATGGTGGGTAAGAGTATCATGGGGATATTTCATGGGAGATGATTCAATGATATGGGTGTTTGTTTTGCCATCTTAATACCGCATGCCAAGAGATATTGGTGTGGCCATGATGAATGGGAGTACTTCATGGGAAAAAATATTGTGGGAATATCATTGATGAAATTATTGAGATTGATATTCCCATTCAAATCCCACAATCATTCCCAATGATTATTCATGATATAAATCGATCGAATTCACTGGGAGTTTCATGACAAATCTGGGGGATTTTAGGGACCAGATTTCAGGCGTAAGTCTAAGCTGTCTTGATGTTTTGTTTGCGGGGGAACCATCTTCAAATGGGGATGAAAATGGTGATTTAATGGTTAACAATGGTGAATAATGGGATGATAATGGGATATACCCTCTGGTTATGACTAACAGTTTGCCATGGTATAGCCATGGCCCATAGAAATAGATGATTTTCCCAGCTAGAAACCTCCATTTATTTTGGGGATTTTCCATGGTTATGTTAAATAACCAGAGGGTGTAGTCAAATAACATGAATATCCCGAGCAAATTGACAAGTTAATTTTGATACCAAATCAGTTCTTACTACTGCAGTCAAAAAGAAAAGTCAAACCAGTCAAACCACATTATTTGCATTATTTGCTGCAGGAAAGCATCATGAAGCACTCCAATTTGGTAGCAACACATATTTGTGCAGTGTATTTTGCGTTGAACCCATCATCCCTGTAAGGGTAACACTAATATAGATGGTTTTAAACTTAATCCTCATTATCTCAGCAAATAGATGCTACCCCATATTGTGCTTTATTTAAAACATTTATATTGATAATTCACATCTACTTAACCACCCCAAAAAAAGTAAATTTCCATATTGATTAGTGAGATATCAAACTTTCAATCACTACAAATGGGTTGTTTGAAAACAGGATACCACATTCCATCTAGTGATCTATCATCATGTTCCCCCCTAAAATTTAGTGGCCAAGCATGTTGGTGTGCTCGATGTTCGTATCCATCCAAAAGTCATGTTTAATGTCACACCTCCCCGACCTTGGGGAGTCATCCCCATCGTTTGAAAACCCCGTGCGTCCGGTTGAAAATTTTGGTTGTTAGCCTGTAGTAAACATACAAAAAACTATGGAAACTCATAATTTTTAATGGATAAATCAACTATAAATGGCAATTTTCAATAGCAAACTGTTAGTTTACCAGAGGTTAATCCGAATTGTGGTGTACCAATATTTTTGATGATCAAATTTTATCAAATCCCTATAGCTTCACTACTGGAAAAAAACATGTTGGTACCAATAAATTCCTATTGTATGATTCAATCCCCAAACTATAGTCAAATACCACACACAACAAATAGTATCGGGTTATATTGGGTTTAACTATCAAAGATGGATTATTAACTATTCATAAATCGTTTTAGTCAAATAATGACCTGAAATATAGGTTCGTTCATATACATAAGTATCATTAAATACCATTCAGGCAATTCACACGAATGAATCTTATGAGTTTCATGCTTGGTAGTAAAATCATGTTACTACTTGATAGTTAACCCCCCCATCCTAATCATATTTTGCCCTATTTGTGACATATCCTAATAGCCAAATCACCTCCTCCAGACATTAAAATCCATAGACAGACAATCATATTGCTATCCTTAACAATGATTTAAATCCCATATTGGAAATTTCAATCGTGGGAATTCTCTAGTTTATATTCCTCTAAGATAGGAATCCCACATTTACAATCCCCCCAGTTCCTATCAATCCCAAAAAGATGTAGATCCAAGACTTATATTGTCCCATTTACATGCTATATAATCCTTTTACTTTTATATTGACTATCCATAATTCCTATAGGGACTTACTTCTATAATCCCTAAAATTATCATACATAATCCTTATTTTTTTCAATTATTAAACCATACTATAATCCCAACATGATTTGATATTAACTATCCACAAAACTCTAGTATAATATTGAATCATAGGAAATCCATACTTAATATTGACTTAAATCCATGTATTAATTATGGATTTCCTATAGTTATACATAGTTATACATTCATAATCCCATCAATATCCATTATAGATTCCTTATAAATTGATATTACGTATCCATAAATCCTATTGATTTGAATCCCGTGTGCATAATCATCCTTATAATCACATGCATAATCCTTAACATAAAAATCTGGGTAAACTATGACGACCTCACTGTTCTCCCTCACTGGAATCATGGTTAGGGGACTTATCCCAATATAGCCAAACTTTTCAGCTTAGTGAATTATTTTGATTCATCCAAATATGATATGCTGGTTATAAGGATGGTCATTTTTGGATCCCAAAGTCAACTATAAAAATATGGTCGTTTCATGGGGTTTCCATAGTCATAGGGGTACCCCAAGCTCGCTGGAGAGTTTATTTCATGGAAGATCTCAATCCAAAAATGGATGATGGCTGGGGGTACCCCGTATAGGAAACCTCCATATCTTTCGATTGACCCGGACGTCTCTCCGGTCCCAGGAAGTGGTGAAGCGCAAGAAGAAGCTCCGTGAAATTACGGCGGATCTCTTCGTAGCCTCGCGACGGCAAAACACCAGCGACTCGGTTGACGGTGATTTTCGTGTTAGCTACAGTAATGGTGGTTTAGTATGGTTTAGTGGCTATTTAGTGGTGGGTTGACTTTGAATGGTGATTTACTGAGATTTAGAGGGATTTTACAGGGATTTAGTGAGGATTTAGTGGTGATTTAGTGATTTTGATGGTGGTTTTAGTGGTAAACTAACATAGCTATTGAAGCCATAGTCCATTTAGTTCGTTGATTTACCTATTAAAGATGGTGATTTTCCATAGCAGCTATGTAAACGTTTACCAGAGGGTAATGGTGATTTTGATGCTATTGAGTAGCAATTTAGTGGTGATTTAGTGGTGGTTTAGGCAATTTTAGTGGTGATTTCTTGGGATTTCATGTGAGTTAATGAGATATTCATGGGATTGAATGGTTGGGGAAACACTGGATGGATAGTTTATTACTTCACGTAGATCCTTACCCTCCAGTAAACAAACACAACTATGGAAACCATGGCCTGTGAAAGTTAATGATTTACCTATAATTTGATAATGTTTAGTACTTATTAAGAGTGATTTTCCGTAGCAATAGTGATTTTCTATAGAGATTTGTAGTGATTTTCCGTAGCAATAGTGATTTTCTATAGAGATTTGTAATGATTTTCCATAGCAATAGTGATTTTCTATAGAGATTTGTAGTGATTTTCCACAGCAATAGTGATTTTCTATTGAGATTTGTAGTGATTTTCCAGAGCAATAGTGATTTTCTATAGAGATTTGTAGTGATTTTCCACAGCAATAGTGATTTTCTATAGAGATTTGTAGTGATTTTCCATAGAGATTTGTAGTGATTTTCCATAGCAATATTTTCTATTGAGATTTGTAGTGATTTTCCAGAGCAATAGTGATTTTCTATTGAGATTTGTAGTGATTTTCCAGAGCAATAGTGATTTTCTATTGAGATTTGTAGTGATTTTCCACAGCAATAGTGCTTTTCTATAGAGATTTGTAGTGATTTTCCATAGCAATAGTGATTTTCTATTGAGATTTGTAGTGATTTTCCATAGCAATAATGATTTTCTATAGAGATTTGTAGTGATTTTCCATAGCAATAGTGATTTTCTATAGAGATTTGTAGTGATTTTCCAGAGCAATAGTGATTTTCTATTGAGATTTGTAGTGATTTTCCATAGAGATTTGTTGAATTACCAGCTGGTAATCTGACATGGACTCCCAGCGCAGCTCCGTTGCTGAGGTGATGTGGAGGCCAGATCTGCTGACCATGAAACCCGGGGTGTGTATTATATATAATTATAGATATAGTTACTAATAGTAATGTTGTATATTATCAATAGTAATGTTGTATATTATCAATAGTAATATTAGACAATATATAGTAATATAATGTAATATATATATATATAATAAATCAATAGATATCTCCTTGACACCATTGGGAGCACATTCTATTCTCGCCCGTAAAAACCGTGTGTCATCCGTGGTTTTCCACCACCGTGGTGCGGACTGTTGTGCCAGGTGCTGTTGAAGAACGACGAGCTCCTTAGAAAGAAACTGCTCCTGGCGATGTGGGAAGGCCCTTACTTTGCCCGCGCAGTGGCCAATGTCATCTCGGCCGCAGTTTTCGCAGCAGATCTTTGGCACTCTCCCACGTTGCTGACGATTGCCATGTGTGGATCACCAATTTTTTGTGGTTTTATTAACAATGATTAACACCATTCAAGAGTATGAACTCATATGAACTCAGTATATCCATTGATTATCCATGATTTTAAGCACTATTCAAACGTATGAACTCATATGGACTCATATCTGGTTGGTGGTTTCAACCATTTTTTATTTTTCCATAGTTTGGGAATAGTCATCCCAACTGACGAACTCCATCATTTTTCAGAGGGGTAGGTCAACCACCAACCAGATCAAGATATCCCCTCTGGTAAACCTTTACAGAACTATGGAAAATCACCATGCTATTAATGGGAAAATCACCATTTTTAATGGGAAAATCACAATTTTTCATGGGAAAACTCACTATTTCACTTGGGATGATTATTCCAGTATTATCCCAGTATTAACTCAGTATCTTCCCATGTCCCCAGCTCGATGTTCTCTGAGGTGATCGCCATGGATCCAGGGCCCATGCCGGAAGTTCCCATCTTGCCAAAAGAGGAGCACGGTTGAATGATCTTGATGTATTGGATGTGAATAGATTATATATATCTATATATATATATATGAATATATATGATATATATGATATATATATATGTACTGTATATATATATATATATGTATATCATATATGTCATATATGAATACACATTATATATACATATATATTTATATATATATATTATATATATATACATATATATATATATACGGTATATATATATGATATATATATATATATGGACCGTATATATATGATACATTGTGATATGTATGTATATATATATATGATATATATATATATATGATATATATATATATATTTATATGATATATGATTTATGATATATATATATAAATATTAGTAATGTACTGTATTGGCATATGAGGATATGGCTATGAGGATATGAATATGTTTTCTTGGTCGTCTTGATCTGCAATTACTTTCCATTTTAAATCATGAATGGGAATTAGCCCTGAAAGGGACCCGATGTGCAGATCCAGCCGAAAGTCCAGTCGGATCCCAGCAAGAAATGGTTCAAGGCTCAAGGGTGTGGACGTTACTGCTGAAGAGATGTCAAATGGATAACATTTTTGACTATTTGACCCCATTGTTTCTGTATATTTGCATATGCAGATACAATCTACAAAAAATCACATGCATCAGATGTTTACATATGTTATGGCTTTGTCTGAAAAAAACGGATACCCCATTCCATGCAATGGTTTGTCACATCAACTGCCCTCTTTTTTAATGGGCCACAGAATGGTATGTTCCACTATATTCCACTAGCTGCTATACCAAGTGCTCCGTAAAAATATAGCTCATCCAATTAGCATGTATGTAGATACACCCCCAAATACAGCCATGTAATTTAATGTAGTTTACACATGTCATCTTTTATTTAGGTTATGATAGATACACAATATGAATTGATCCTATATTAGTACGTTCTTGGTTCCTATAGCCTATAGACACCTATTTGATGAGTCCCTTATATGTTCAAATCCCTATCATTTATACTATCTATACATTGACTTTCCATCGGATGTATAATCATCCATGTCCAGACATATAAAATACGAATTATTAGTCCCTAGATTCTATAATATATACATATTTACATATCAGAATATACATAGTGATAAAGAGTTAAATCCTTGCAATCATGTACATATATATACATATTATATATATACATAATATACATATACTATTAGTACATACATGCTTGAATATTATATCAGAGATTGATAGTACATACTATTTGTACATAATATACATATACTATTAGTACATACATATTAGCTTGAATAGTATTAGTACATAATATACATATACTATCTTAATACATATACGTGCATATTCCTTGATACTCCGAGACTTGGATCCTAAGGAGGACACCAAGAAAGAGGAAGAAGAGAGCGACGAGTCCAGCTCGAGGAGTAGCAGCCCAGCACGGAGCAGCAGCACCTCGGAGAGACGTCGGACGTGGTGGAAACACAGGGCAAACATCGGCAACAGTTTGGTTTACTAGGTCATCATATATATATATATACATATATTATGTATATATGTATATATTATGTAAGTATGTATATACATATTATATATATATGTGTATATATATGTGTATGTGTATATATATATGGGGTTTATATATGTTTATGAATATTTATGGGGAACTTAAATGGATTTATCCCATCAGATTTAGGTGCTTTAGAAAAAAACAGGCTAACCATGAAACATGAGGATTTAAGCATGGGAAAATGTGAGGAATAGTTCCCGAATCATGTGATGATGGCTTGGAGAAATGGGATTTGTTTTTTTTGCATCAAAACATCATTGAGCAGATGAAGAATAGATATGGTTTTGTCTGAAACAGAGAGATTTAAGCCCCAGTTTACTTGTTTAAACAGCGAACATGATGACAACGCTTTGGATTTTAGGCTTAATAGAAGTACCCTATTTTCAGGGAAACCGATTCTGGTATATAATGGCGTACAGAGATGATTTTACATATATAACTAGATTTAGCACGGAACCCTCGTAAAACATTGGGGTTAACAGACTATGTTTGCCTGTGGCATTTTTGACATTTGCTGTTAGTTTTCATGGGTATACAGGTGGTGGAAGTGATTGGAATTGAGGAAACTGCATATATGTTGGAGTTTTAGTGTGGTTGCACAACACACATGTACCAAAAACATCCAAAAACAAACATAATATTGCAGACACTCATTAATATGCTAGTGTTTTATTTATAGAAATTGTTATTTCCAGACTTATGGTGATATGAGACAAGTTATGCTAGTCTTATTAATGAGACAAACTTAATATCATAATATCACCAAGTTATGCTAGTCTAGATCATGGTCTTGATCTTCCAGACTCGTCGAGAGTATCTCCAGCATTCTTGGACAATTACCTCCAATCAGCAGGTGGTGCCCCCCAAGTTATGTTTGTTGGTTTATAATCCCATTAACTATAGATAATTATATATAGATATATCACCTACAAAAACCATAGTTAAACTGGAGTTATGTTCACCAACTTAGCTAACTAACTATAGATATATCACCAACAAAAACCATAGTGAAATTGGAGTTATGTTCACCAACTTAGCTAACTAACTATAGATATATCACCAACAAAAACCAGAGTGAAATTGGAGTTATGTTCACCAACTTAGCTAGGCGATTCCGAACGGCACCACCGTCACGCAGGTAGTGGAAGCAGCTCCAGCCACAAGAAGCGTAAGCACCGGGACCGTGGTGACAGCCACGGCGCCAAGCGCCCGAGAACCACCGAGCCGACAGCGCCGGGTGCGGCGGAACCGCGGCACCACGGCCACAGCGGAACGCGGCACGCGCGGCCGCCGCCGCCGCCGAGCTTTACGAAGGATGACCTGCAAGGTGGGACTGGGACTGAACCATTAAGGGACTGAACCATGGAATCCATGGAAAAGTTCAATAGTATGGTGATGTATGGTGAGATGTTGAAAACTCAACTTTTTTTCTCTATTTGGTGAATCATCATGTTCCCTGTTGAATGGTCATGATATTGGGTATGTTATTATATGGTTGGTGGTTTCAAACATTGTTTTTTTCCATAATATATGGGATAATCCTTGCCATTGACTAATATTTTTCAAGATGGTTAAAACCGCCAACCAGGTATATTCTATTTTCAGAGAGACCCATATTAAGACATGGAAAAGTGGTCGGACAAACTTCAGGTTTTTTTGCATTGGGATGCCCTGCGTCAACCTTGGTACCTTGGTTGGTCGTTGTAGGCAAAGATCAGGATCGAACCACCATAAAATGGGTAGAAATCCAACAGAAATGGGAATGTAATAGGATTTACTGTAACTCGGTTTTGTGTTTTTTGTTGAGTTTCCATCCATCAGAATATATGAGGGGTTCCCCAATGACTAGATATATGTAATTAAGTATATTACTTTTAGGTTGAAAACGCCAGCTGGCTTGGTTTGGTACTTTGGTAGGGAGTTGTTCCAGTGTGGTATGATACATCCAGCGAATTCAACGGACATCTAACTACCCTCCAGCAAGTTGATATAACTAAATTGTTCATTAATATGTATTCAGACATGTTAAATGACCAGAGGGGAATGCATCAATGATCATCAATGGGCTTATGACATAAGCCACTTCCTGTAGGATCACCGAGTTGAGTAGTTGAGTCGTCAGGTTATCCATCAAAAACTCTGCGGAACCTCTGTGTGCAGTACAAGGCACCGGGCCTTGTTGATGGCTTAGGATAGGGGAACTCTATGGGATATCCCCACATGGGGGAAACAGGTTCGATTGGCGGCCGAAGTCTTCAGGCTAGGGGCCATCATTTTCTGGTTGGTGGTTTCAAACACGGCTTTTATTTTCCATTCACATATGGGATGTCATCCTTCCCATTGACGAACTCCATCATTTTTCAAGATGGTTAAAAACCACCAAGCAGATTTTCAATGTGTTTCCAGATTGTTCAAATGCACCAGTCACTGTACCTTAATTGAACCTGGTTGAACTGATGTGGTGAATGTTAGTGGCTGATGTGAATCAGAAAAACGTCGCAATGAGGCGAACAAAACATGACGATTCGATGATTTCATGACAATTGGTGGCCAATTGGCCAAGACGAGTTATGGGAGTTCTTCGCTGATTTTTGGGAGTTTCAAACGAAACGTAAACTGGTCAGAATTTCACAGCCCGTCCCCCAGATGTGGTTCCAATCTCGATCTCATAGGGACATGATGGCGCCACTTTTTGGATGGGGATTCTGTGAAAATCTCTTGATGCAATTGGAAAAAAAACCTCACTTAGCCTTGGAAATATTGAACCGTGGAAAAACCCTTATTTATTGAACCTTAGTTGCCCTTATTTATTGAACCTTAGTTGCCCTCATTTATTGAAGCTTAGTTGCTTTTATTAACCTTCATATTTCGCCAATTACCACCCAAACGTGACAAATGTGTGTCCACGCTGCCAGGTGCTGCCCCCTGGCATGGTGGAGCGAACCGACCTGCTGAAAGCTCTAGACGCAGGGCGGCAAAGTTGAATATTTAAATTCAAACCATTTGAAATTAAGAGTTTTTGAACATAATCTTGAACATTTCTAAGTTATACATATTTATACTTGATCGTTTGAAAATCATCAAGGGAACTTACCGATGATAAATTGGTGGCTTCGGCGCTCGCACCAGGAACCTTTGGCAGTTGTGAAGAATGCGACCCCAGCCAGCGCGTCCGCACGCGCAGGGGCTGAGAGGCCTAAAATTCCATCAGCTCTGAAGTGTCAAAAAAATCATGAAAATCCCATGTTTGTTTTTCCTTGAACTATGGAACTTGCATGAATCTGCATGAAGAATATTGATATTGAATTCTGTTTTCTAGTGAATATACATCTGTAGTAATAATAAGATATAAGCATATACATATTCATATACATCTCCAAACCATGGAATGTCAACCCATTTTGTTGGTAAGTTCCATAAGTTCTCCATGTCCACTTCCCGCCAGGCTTGGGAATGGCACCTTCACGCGCAGCGACCTGCCCAGTTTCACCAACGTGGAGTTGGAGACCATGCCCATTAGCGACTCAGCATCCATGGGAGATCCTCTCGGTGGGTTTTCGAATGGTGAATACATGGGCTACTGAGGCTACTGGGTTGCCAAAAAGATCGGCTTTTGATTGATGATCAGGAATCATAGATACCAAACACCCAGCTATATATAACATGGTGATTTTCCAGTTCGTTATGTAAACGTTTACCAGAGAGTATATATATCTGGTTGATTGGTATAATCATATACCAAACACCCATTCAACATGGTGATTTTCCATAGTTATGTAAACGTTTACCAGAGGGTATATATCTGGTTGATTGGTATAATCATATACCAAACACCCATTCAACATGGTGATTTTCTATCCAGTTCGTTATGTAAACGATTACCAGAGGGCAAAATCACTAAAAAATCCATTAACAGTCAAAAATCGGAATGATTTATGAATATTGATGATAATTAATCATATATATATATATATATGACTAGATAAGTTGAAAATGGTGGTTTATCATCATAAATCATCGTGAGCTTTTTGTGATCCAAGCCTGGAATGAGAATTGGATTCGCGGTTTGAAAGCAAGGAGGAGCTATGATATGTATGATGTTAAAATAGGGTAAATTGATGAGAATGTCACGTTATGACCCAGATATCAATATACATATACATGATTTGGACCAGCTACAAATGTGTGAAGTAATTTTTGTTTTTGAAGCACATACGTGGATTGCATAGCCAAGTTTTTAAACCTAGCTTAAAAAGTGCTGCCATGGAGTGATCACAAGCCAGCGAACAGCGAAAAGTGTAGAAGAATGAATATTTGGTTGGTGGTTTGGAACATGAATTTTATTTGTACATATATATATATATCATATATTGGGAATGTGATCATCCCAACTGACGAAGTCATATTTTTCAGAGGGGTTGAAACCACCAACCAGATGAAAATGGGATATTGGGCTTTGAGGTTTGGATGAATTGACACGGTCGATGGCCAGGATGAACATGTTTCAAAGGTCGATCGATCCTACGGGAAATCATTGAACCGATTTGGGGATGGGTCAAAACCCTATCCCCCTGGTGAACATCAAAATAGCTGGTAAATGGATGTTCATCCCCCTAAAAATGGTATGTATAGGTATTGATCCATAGCCATTTGATGCCACTGGGACTGTCATGAAGTACGTCGTACACCAACCGAAAATCCAACAAAGCTATCGAAAGTCACCCTGTCATGAAGAGGACATCCTACTAATATCTACTAATTATCTACGGGTAACGTTCAGCAGCATACCACATGTTGCCCAGAATGTCGGCCCCCGCAGTTGGTTTATAGCCTAAGATGACGGTCAGGTTGCTGTCCAGCAGGCCGTGTCCATAAGTGATACAATGGACGTTGAATCTGACCTGACCGATTGAACCAACGTTCGTTGTCAAACTCCCATGCCTAAAACCATGGTTGTTTGCGTTCGGGGAGAACTTGTACATGATCCTTTACATCTTCACTGTCTTGATTGAGTGAAGTCAATCCGTACAGCCCTGCGAATCAGATGTCATATGCGCCAAGTGTTTCAGGCAAAGGTTGGGATAAGAAACGCTAAAGCAACTTGCAAGGTGTCTTTAAACATAGATTATACAATGTTACATGGTTATGGTTATGTTGAATTGGTGTGAGGTTTACTGCGTTTAGCAATCTATTTTCTTGCGGCCATGCGTCAAGATATGTCTTGGACCTGTATGCCATGGTCAAAAAAAAGCTCCACCTTTCCTGAGTAAAGCTCTTGAATCAAGATGATTTATAACTGATCCAAGTGTACATTAGATATTGATGTATCTGCCATAAAGCAACTGACGAAGGCTAGGAGATAATATATAGATATTGAATATCTGCCATACGTATTTTGAATATATTTATGGTGAGACTAGTTTTAAGTTTTCAACCAACTTATCTAGGAGGCCGCGCATTGCAAAGGTACACGCTAATACCAACCAGCTACAAACACTGCAATTGCCATTGATCCAGACTGGTTTTCCATTGATCCAGACTTTATTGATCCATTTAATAGTTGTGTTTAATGATGTTCTATGTTTATTGATCCAAAGTATTTGGGGGTGGACATTATATATTGTTGTCATGGTTTCTCTCAAAAATTCTCGTCCAGCCGAAAAATTATATCGACTGAGGTAAATTAAAGATGTACTGCATCCAATATGGCCGATTACCTAGTGGTTCTCTGGAGCAGCTTGGTGTCGATTGCAAGCCTGAACGGGCTGTTTTTTTCTCGGAGTTGATATGATGGGTCGAAACGGGGGTTGAGTGTATCATGGATTTGAGCGGCGACATGTACATATCATATATATATATATACATATATATATATACATGTATACATTATCTATTATCTCCCCGTGATATCATGATATCCAATAATATTTCCAGATGATGTCCATTTTCCGTCCTATTCGGATTAGAGCTCCATGTGCCATGAGCACAACTCCTGATCCTAGGCTCATGACTTGATCATTCCAACGATTCTCCAGAAAATAACGAGGTTTCACATGGTTTCACCATGTTTCTATAGTGACCTGAGCCAGAATCTATGGGGATATATGGGGATATATGGGGATATATGGGGATATGGGATCAACCGGGGGCCCCATGGGCAAAATCAACCGATGTGGATGGGCTGGTGGTGTCAAAGATGTTGTGAAAAGATGTGATTTGTGTCCGTCTCCAGCTGGAGAATAATGATCTGATTGAGATTTCAGACTTTTTTCAGGAGGCTACCCTCTGGTAATTTAACGTAGCTATTGAAAATGGCCATTAATAGTGGATTTTCCCATTAAACATGGTGATTTTCCATAGTTATGTTAAATTACCAGAGGGTAACTCCAGGTACACACCAGCAAATCTGTTTTGGTAATACCCGGCCTGGTAAACGTTTACAGTGTGCTATGGAAAATGCCCCGTAGAACTTGGGTGGTGTAAACCAGCAAATTGGGTAGACATTTTCGAACAGCTTTTCGAACCACGCAGTGACACAGAGATTGTGTCTAGAGTCCTTTCAGACCCGTTTCTTGCAAGTTCAGCAACAACACAGATGTACCCTCTGGTAAACTAACATAGCTATTGAAAATGGCCATTTTTAATGGGAAAATCCACTATAACTGGCCATTTTCAATAGCTATGTTAAATTACCAGAGGGTAATAGATGAACATTTGGAGCCTGTAATTTCTAAGCGAACATCAACTGGCCTCCTGTACTGTTGGTGTGCTGGGACGATTGTTCAAGTTTTCGAAGAGATATAATTTGTGTGATATGTTACATCCCAATATATATATATATATAGCCCCTTTGTACTGGGGTATAAGTCTCCAGTACTATACACCAATCGAGTTCCTTTGGTGAATTGTAGCAGCTCCAGTTCCATTGTTCAGGAGAGAACATGATGCACCTTGGTGAATGGTTGATGCATGTACCATGACCATGACCGAGCCTCATGAATTGGTGGCATGGTGTTTTGAAATGTTGCTAAAGCTTCAATGAACACATGGAACATTTGTTTGATTATCTATCATATTCTATTATACTGTTGTCATAGGTATCTTTCATCCATCATGCCGTATTACCCACAGACGCCGTGTGTTGCCCAGACATTAACATTGAGAATGTCGTGCTGTCGAATATATGATAGGAGAGATTGCAGAAAATCCTGCGTATACGCAGTGTTTTCCAGTTTAGGATTCAAAGTTTTCAGAGCCTAGGTTTTAGGGTTTAGGGTTTTAGGGTTTGGGGTTTTAGGGTTGGGGATTTTAGGGTTTGGGATGGTTTAGGGTTTTAGGGTTTAGGGTTCGTCGTCTGGGAAATCTCAAAAACACTGGCCCTGCACATGTGTTTGAGCATGTTGAAGGATCATGTTTAAACAATGTTCAAACGCCATTTGAATAACCAGAGGGTAATATCATCTATCATCCACCATACCCTCTGGTAATTTAACATAACTATGGAAAATCACCATGTTTAATGGGAAAATCCACTATTTCTATGGCCATGTTCAATAGCTATTTTGACATAACCAGAGGGTAATATCATCTATCATCCACCATACCCTCTGGTAATTTAACATAACTATGGAAAATCACAATTTTCAATGGGAAAATCCACTATTTCTATGGCCATTTTCAATAGCTATTTTGACATAACCAGAGGGTAATATCATCTATCATCCACCATACCACTGGTAATTTAACATAACTATGGAAAATCACCATTTTCAATGGGAAAATCCACTATTTCTATGGCCATTTTCAATAGCTATTTTGACATAACCAGAGGGTAATATCATCTATCATCCACCATACCACTGGTAATTTAACATAACTATGGAAAATCACCATTTTCAATGGGAAAATCCACTATTTCTATGGCCATTTTCAATAGCTATTTTGACATAACCAGAGGGTATCATCCACCATACTTTTGTCTATTCTCCTCCATTATTCCTATAGAAACATCCCAGGAAATCGGACTTGAAGAAGGCCTTGGCGCCCTTGGCCAAGGCGGACGGGGCGGTGATTTCACCGCAAATTTTTCGGGGCGGTGGCTGAGCTTTTTGTAAGGCTAGGAAGTTCGTGAAATGTCCTCATTTTTGGGCAATATCGGGAAAAATACACATGTTCAAACCATCCAAAATCTGTGATTGAAACATTTTGCTGAAAACTGCATGTTGAAAAAGAGAAATAGGCATATGTATGTAGTTATATATAAGCAAATGTTACCAAAGGACATACATTAACAAAAAGGGGTTTAACAGAAATATTGCAAAGACAAGGAAGTGGACATGCCAGCCTTTCTGGTTGAAGACAATTGAACTTCACAACTCGATGATTCTTTCTTCATAGCGCCAAAAACTCATTGGGATATGATCAGCACAATATGGCTATGTTGAACAGCATGGAAACATTTACCGGTAATCAAACATGCCAATCATAGAGGATTTTGTACTGGTGGGTGACATACCCTCTGATAATCAACGATGGCAATGGCACATCCACCTTATTTATAGAGGTTGTTTTCCCATTAAAACACCATTTATAGAGGATCTTCGATTGCCACGTTTGATTACCGGAGGGTAAGCAGTTCATGCAGCAAGTGATGCACCTAGGCAAACAATGATGGATGTGTCTACAGCTATGGTGGATGTCTTACTTCTCTGTCTAGAGAAGTAAGTATACGGATATCTCCAAGATTCCAAGTCATATACCGATGTAAATATCCATTCGAAACCATTATTCATCACATTCATACGACACCGAAAATGATTTTGTTAAATACCAAGAATCCGGGTCTTCGAAGCAGCCGCACTTGGAGATCATTTCAACATTCAATGGATTGGTTTAGTTTTTTTTTTCAGGAAACCATGTTTTTAATCACAGAATTATAGGGGGTTCCAGTAAATTTTCCCTGAACCATTGAAACATGGTTGGTGGTTTGGAACATGAATTTTATTTTTCCATATCTTTGGAATGTCATCATCCCAACCGACGAAGTCAAATTTTTCAGAGGGGTTTTTGTCAACCACCAACCAGATATTTATATAATTATTTATATATAGATTATATTAACCATAGATTAACCATATTATATTAACCATAGATTAACCATATTATATTAACCATATATTCACCATCATATTCACCATATATTCACCATATATTCACCATGTATTGGGTTGAATTGTTTAGGATGCCTGACTCAGCCGACCTGTTGGACCTCCCATGGCTTTACCTGTGGTCCATGCAGGTGGCGCAGCCTCCTCCGGCCAGCAGCGTTCCTAAAAAGGCCTATCTGCAGTTGAAAAAGACATGGGAAATCACCATGAAATCCCCAGTAAATCACCATAAAATCACCATAAAATCACCATGAAATCCCATGAAATCCCATTAAACCCCATTAAATCCCAGTAAACCACCATAAATAGATGTTCTATGGGATTTTGCTGGGAAAAAATCGATGATTTATGATGATTTTTAATGGGATTTCCCGTGGGGATTTCCATGGTGATGAAGGCTGGGTGATTCGGTGCTTCTCAAAGTTCAGGTACCCGGGATTCACAACTTGATGTAGAGGTTTCCGAAGTCATGGGGGTTGCCCTAAATCACCCAGTCATGACCATGACGCCTCGTAAACCTGATGGTGGGATCCCCCATTTTTTCGAAAGCCATGAACATGTGACAGGATTTTTCTCACATTTTTCTGATTCTGTTGATCCAGCCAAAAAATCATCATGACTCATGACTCCTGCTGGATTGGGATGACATGTCCATCACGTGGTTTTTGTTATACCATTCGGGTTGATACTTCAAAAAACATCGTAAGTAGTACTGCTAAGGGGCATGATCCCAAGCTATGTGATTATATATGGCTAAATCCCATTGAACCACCATCACCATGAAATCATCATAAAATCCCATGAAATCCCATGAAATCCCATTAAACCCAATAAAATCCCAGTAAATCACCATAAAATCACCATTCCATCCACTGTCCGCTTGCGCGGCGAGGTGCTTCCGAGCTTCACCTTGGAAGAGCTGCAAACGATGCCCATCAGCCACCGTGCTGTTTTTAGACGGCGAGATGCAGAAGGGCGATGAAGGGCCAATGGCTAGCCATAGTTTGTGTACCCCAAAAAAGGTGGTTTTTATATAGTATGTAAGTATATGTAAAAGATTAATTGGGAGACCATATTTTTATGTAATCCCAGCTTTGTAATACAATTTATACCAATTTACCAATGTTTTTTTTGCATAGTTGAAAGTTGAAAGATCCCATGGATTGGAGATCTCAACATCCTGCACTACCAAGGTACGAATGGGGTAACCATTTCACTTCATGGCTACACACTGTGGATGACATGATACTTACTAAGTATGTTATATATATATATATATATATATCTACATACATACACATATATATATATATATATCATATGTAGGATGAGACATGCACGAATCTGCTTAAATCGTGATTTTCTGACCAGTTTTGAACTACATATGGTGCTTGCAAGACTTTGCTCACTACCTGGGATGATCCATCCCAGTTGAAGATTTCCCTGGTGTTGGAAAACAATGCAATGTTTACCATCCCTAATGACTTACCATAAATGTATGGGTGGTAAAAATAAACCATTCCCAGTCATGGGTGGTTTATGACATTGTTTTGCCCCCATGAATGTTTGTTGCTGTGCGCCATCAGAGATCAAAATGCGCTGAGGCAAGCTGAAGAATCATTGCTTGCAGTATGGCAGGTGACCGCTTTCCGCATGCGCAGTGTGGTTGTTCTGAAAAGTGGACAGATGATCGTCAACTAATGTGGTACTCGAAGCTGGTAATTAATGCGGTAAATCCACTATTCCACGCTAAACATGTGTAAACCCTAAATGGTAAAATCCCAAGTTGAGTGGGAAGACGGCCTTCAAGACAGCAGTGGAATAGCACATGGAAACTAACGTAACTAACGAATCTTGAGGCTGGAACCTAAAATCAGACATGATCCAGATGATCCAACAACTAGTTACAGGAACTATTACATAGGTATGTCAAGTATTTCTGAAAGTGAGACGAGCACTGGAATTGTGTGAGTTTCTTGATGGATGTCGTCCAGTCTCGAACGTTCGACACAACTGGCCACCAGCTGGAATTTGATAGCTAAATTGCTACAGATAAAAGGACACATAGATAGCACCTAGCCTGTATGTTGAATCTGCCTTTGATGGGTCATACCTGTTGTCAGGCTGCACACATACCCTTGCCCTTTCTCTTTGCCTTCCTCCTAGGGGGCTTCGGGCCACTTCCAAACCATGACCAATTATACTAATCTGATCCTGAAAGCATTTCAAGACATCTTCAAACAAGTGTTCTTAAGACAAATACATCCTGCACAACATCTTTTTAAACAACTTGTCTTGGTTTCTGATGACAACCTTAGAGATCAAATTTGGCGAGGCGAAACAAACACATGATGGGGATCATTGGGGATCTGAATGAATACCCTCTGGTTATGACTAACAGTTTGCCATGGTATAGATGGCCCATAGAAATAGATGATGTTCCCAGCGAACTAAACCTCCATTTATGGTTGGGATTTTCCATGGCTATGTCAAATAACCAGATGGTAGGTGTCCTCTACATGTATAATTAATTCCTTACATGCATTCTTACATGCATATTTAATCATATTTACCTATGCATGTTGAAGGGTAAAACTTGACTGGTGTCTCAATTTTACTAATATGGGAATCACCAATTTCCAATGGGTATATCATTTATCAACAGATATGTATATCATCATGGCTATGCGCAGCTTAACATGTATATCATCTATAAGAACAACATATTTTTACTCCTGTGAGATATAATTTTTGGGAATCACATTTAATGGCCATTTTAGGAACCTAAATTGGAGGTACCTACCATATATAAGGCCGATTTTTTAGGCTTAAATTTCAGGGAATATCCCACAAAATATGGCCAACAATATGGTACTAACGTACCTCCATTTGTTCGGATCCTGAAGATCTCCCATTGACACATGGGGATGGGTCAAAACCCTGGTACCTAGTGAACCCCAAAATAGCTGGTAAATGGATGTTCATCCCACTAAAAATGGTATTAATAGGTATTGATCCATCCCCACATGGAATCACCGTATATTTTCTATGGGAAATCCATGGGAATCAGCACGGATCCTGGCAGGATGCCGCACGGACCGGTGGAGCGAACGGACTTGGTGAACTTGCTGAAGCCCTTCGCAACAGGACGGGACGCTGGGAGATGCTGAAGTGGACGTGAAGTATATGAAATGAAATGTATGCTATGTCCTTTATACTACATCAATATTATATTATATATAGATAGATTATATACATATATATTAGACATTAATATATATATATATACACATCATTATGTACATATATATATATTTATGGAATAGAACTGGAATATCATGGGACTGTGTGAATGTAACATCCGACTTTGTGTCATCAAACATGGCTGGGAAATCGTGGAGAATCCCGGCTGCCATAAACCTATCATGACTGGGGATGGTTGAAATCCCAGAACTCGGATGATGTAATGGGGATGGTCTAGGACCCTAGGAATAAGAATGTGAGCCACCAATATTTCATTAATCCATGTCACTATAAACGTGCATAGGCGCAATGGATGGAGGACAATCCTATGAATGGATACATATACATATACAGTATATACATATATATATATAAATACACATTCATAAACATGTGCGTACAGTAAGACCTTCAAAAAACTGGGAAATGCCAGGCCAAATACAATACATACAATATACATACATAGAATGTTGGACCAGTCAGTGCATATGAATCCTGGGACATTGCAAACTCAGCGGCCGAAATTATCCATGATCCCAGTGGCGATGCTGTTGGGATGAAGATGGTATGTTGGGGATCAGAAAAATAAACACCTGGAGTAGTTGTTATTAGGGAGTGTGATTACTTGGAAGATTAAGTAATTCTCTTGGAATAAAATTACCTTATGCCTTATTTCGAGTGATCCCCGCCACGACCCATCATTCTTTCATAGTTTCTGTCATATTCATTGGACATATATATATATATATATATATATACACATTGCATATGTATTCTGGCATTCTATTTGACATTCGATCTAACGTTCTTTCTAGTGTATAGTGTATACTCTGACATTCTATCTGATATTCTTTCTGGCATTCTATCTGGCATCTATTCTGACATTCTTTCTGGCAGAAAGGGTGTTCAGGTCCAGGCGTGGCCCACTGCATCCGGAGCTCGCGATGTGGCTTGGATCCATGGTAGAGGAGCCGAGGAGAAGGAGTATGAAGAGAAGGAGGGAAGAAGGAGGAGAAAGGACCTGCACCTTTGTTAAAATCTAGCGACCCTCACCTGGCAGGTGGGGAAATATTCTATCGGGGGTATTATTTGGACTTTTTTTGTTAGCATTACAATTCTTATTAAACATAGCTTGTTCATGCTTACTACTATTATTATGCTTTATTTAGTATCAACAACGTCATTGCTCTGGAAGAAGGGAAGATCTTGGAAGAAAGGGTCGCCCAATTTCAGGTGCACGGTCCACGCTGACAACAGCTCCGGCCACACTGCCGGGCGCGGTGCCAGCGCCGGCGTCAACGGCGGCGTCGACGGCGCCGGCGGCGAAGCCGGAGGGTGATGGCTTCAGTTTGGAGGAGCTGAAAACCATGAGTATCTGGGCGAAACAAAATCCAAGTGAAGTTGTTTTTAGGCATTTAATATATTTTAATATGAGATTTCGTTTGGACTGTTTACACTCTATATTGTCCGAAAAAATGTTGTAGAATGTTATTGCTGATGATCATCATGTTTAGCTCAAAATGATCATCCAACCATGATCCAGGATGCTTGTTTTGCCAATGAAAACGAAAACTTGATGCGCCAGAATCATGCAATAACACAAACAAGAAGTGAAGTTTTTGGGCATTTGATTTTTAATGGGTTTTGTGTATTGATTGATTATCAGTATCATTGTATCGACTTTTCTATACGCGTATATATATATATATAATATGTAGTAAGTTTTTTGGGGTTTTGATGGTTTTGATTCCCCAAATGACATCGAAACAGTTTTCTGTTGCAACTTAGAAGGAGCAACGTCAGCAAGCCACCATGCATGTTGATCATGAGGATCTCGGCTAGCGGCTAGTTGCCGAATTTTAAGGCGTTATTCAACTCTTGTGGATTTTTGAGTGTTATATATATATGTTATATATATATATAATGATTGATGATGTTTTGTTCTTGATTTTTTCAATATGATTAATATTGATAATTAAGATCTAGTGAGGATTGACGTCTGTTTTTTTGGCAGGAAGTAATCATGTTTTAGCCTCAAAAATGGGGATTGCTGATGATTGTTTGGACCCATAACACTTTAGCAGTGAAATTGTGGCAATTTATGGATCGAGGAAAAGGGACCCTGACAGCCCTTTCTTGGTGGTGAAATAGCTGTCATAGGTGAGGAACCCTACTTGCAGAATTTGACGGTTTTAAATCTCCAAGGACAAGGGAGGTAGTAGCAACAAGGATGGGGATGCTTTGAAGAAACACATTGGGGACATGTCACATATATATATATATATTTCCCTATGTTTCTATTCGTGGGATTTTTTGGTATTTTTCCACTTGGCATGTTGCATCCCAGGCATGAAAATGCTCAAAACGTCTCTTGGCTGAGCTGGATTCGCCACCTTGCTGGCGTCAGGGTTGCACCATGGCATGGATTGGTGATAAATTGCATGATCTTGCAGGGAGATCCTTGAGATGTTTCAGACTGCCAATCCGTCACAGCTTCGAACATCCCGACGTCGATTTTTTGACATTTTTTTGACATAGGAATAGTGACCAGGGTAGTTGCGACGACCAGTGTTAAACATGCTGAAAAACCACTCGAACAACACATATCCATGAGTGGAACAATATGGAACATATTAAACATTGGTTTCCAAAGGTGAAACCATATCAAATTGATGTTTCACCGGAGGAAAATGTCAATATTTGCCAAGTCGTGACGTTGCATGACATTTTCGGTTGCTGGTTCAGGTGGCATCTCTGATGTAGGTGGAAGATCATATTCGGAATGTGCCTCGTGTTCTTTTTCGTATGTTGCAGTAATACTGTATTTACATTGTATTTACTATTATATAACATGGAATTATAACTGCGAAACAATATATATATATATATACATATAATGATTTGGTGGATTTTCTCCAGATGCCGATAGAAACACCCAAAACCTGTATATAATTATATATATATATATACATATGCTGGTTGGTGGTTTAGAACATGTTTTTTTTCCATATATTGGGAATGTCATCATTCCAACTGACTTTCATATTTTTCAGAGCGGTAGGTCAACCACCAAGCAGCCATTGTATCATCATTCAATCCAATTACATAAATCCCTAATTTTGATGGTTGAATACCCATTACATCACCATGAATGCTTGATGGTTTCTCCAATTTATATATCCCATAGGATCCATGGTGCTGGTATATATGCTAACATGACTGGGGTATATTGATGGGATCCATGTTACCATATATAGCAGCAGCATGGATCCGTCATGGGTATACCATTGGGCCAAGTCCCTTGTGTGATGCCGAGGTTCTGTTTGCGACGCTCGGCTGAAAATTTCATCCCTGTTGACCTGACCACTTGGAGGATCATCCCGGGGATCGCAAAGAGTTAGAAACCCTGGTGAGTTGGGAAGTCCCCGAAATCAGTGGTGGTAATCCCATCTATAGATGGTTTATAACATCTTTTATAATCTTATAACATCTTATAACATCTTATAATATCTTATAACATCTTATAACATCTTATAACATCTTATAACATCTTATAACACCTTATAACATCTTATAACTATGGTTACAAACCATTTAAGAGTTGTGGGATGATCCTCCAAGTAATGCTTGTGGGGTGCGCCATTTGTTTTTTGGGGCGAATCATAAGGACGTCACGACGTTTTCCCTCACTGCATCTTACTACACTGTTGGTTAATAAGGGAAATGGAAATGATCCTCAATATAGATTATAGCCTTAATGTGAACTATTATAACATATTATAACTCATCCAGATGTAGCCTTAATGTATCTTAATGTGATGGATTGTGATGGTACATGGTGGTTTCTTAAGTCATGGAGGATCCCAAAGTCACCATGGTGTGTTTCAATACAAAGTCATGGTCGTTCATGACGACTGGATGATAGCTGAGGGGTACCCCCATGACTTAGGAAACCTCCATATCTATCAACTTACGGATTCCTTGGTGGCTGTTGTTCAGAATTGTTTCAGCTAGATGTTCCATCAGAACTACCACTCATTTTCAGCAATCCATATATTTCTTACCGATCTTACCCTTCATTGAGGGTGACTGGTGTTTTTTTTGCTCGACATGGGGGCAGCTGAGGACATAAGGTGATGCCGCACGGACCGGTGGAAAAATGTGACCTGCAAAAGGCTCTGGAGCCTTTCGCGAGATGAGCGGAAAAGCGAAGACATATTTGGCGGCCGATTCCTGGGAGAGTCGTGGGAGATATGAATGGAAGATCTAACCGTTCGGCGGCGGGTCGTGATGACCTTTCAACTGATGGGTTAGATTCGATGGTTTTTTGGGTTTTGATATGAGCCAGGGATCAATACCTATGGAGAATCACTCTTCGAAGAATAGATATCAGGAGGTGAATTGTGATAAATGTGGAGAATCATGGAAAATCACCATTCTTAGTAGATAAGTAATCCACCAATTTTCCAATGATCTACAGTAATTAAATCAGTATTTATCGTATATGGACAATGGTTTCATATCCATTTTCATCCATTTTCATGCATTTTCCAGTTCCCAAAGTGCAAGAGTCATTTTTCCAGAGGCATCCATTCACAACTGAACAGACGAAAGAAATCTGATCTGCCAACGCGTAACCAGAAGGCGTCTCAGTTGGATTTCAGCGGTGTGGCACCTCAGCGTTTCCGGCCTGGGATTGGATGATCGAGGCTGGATGCTGGACAGGTATGGATATGTTTGGATATAGTTTAATTTCATATTATATTATTATATGATTATGTATATATACACAGATACTTAGGTGTGTATATATATATATGTATTATGATATATATATATACACACTGATTCTTAAGAATGATGAAAAAACTATTTCTGAGGAATTGAGAGGAATTCATTGGAGGGAAATTCAATGTGTGACATAAGAATTTCATGAACATCTGAAGGACCAGTTGGGCACGGGAACTTGTCTCAGCGACAATGACCATTATGTGGAGGAATGTCTCCACAGAATGTTACTCGGACCTTTTTTGATAGTCAGTTGCCCTTGTGTGGTTTTTGGTAAATACAGGCAGATGTGCTATATCTACTGTACATTTGTGTTGATTTGCTTTAGGAAATAATTCCCATGAAATTGCCATGTATTGGATCAAAGCCTGGTTTTTCAGATATGACAAACCAACTTAAAGCGAGAAATAACAGTCTACTTCCGTCAATGTATTGCTGGTTGGTGGTTTCAAACATCCGCTATTTTCCATAATATATGGGATGTCATCCTTCCCATTGACTTTCATATTTTTCAGAGGGGTAGGTCAACCGCCAACCAGAACGGCCCGGCACGGCGTCCGCATGGCATCCGTGGTCCACGGTGCGTTGATGTGGTGGCCACTCGCCCTGCTCGTTGCGCATGACGCGCATGCGTCGGTGTGGAATGATTGGTCCAGCCAACCAGAGGAGTGGGATCTCCAAGTTGTGGCCTGTGCATTGAAAAAACATGAGCTTGTAAACAATATGGAATCTGCTTGGTGGTTTGGAACAGGGCTGGATTATGACTTTCCATATATTGGGGTCCAGGGTCCCTCAAATTCTTATTTTTAAATACAGGCAAATTTGCACTATAACAGGCCGAGGGTCCCTCAAATTCTTAAGGCATTCTTAGTATTATATTGCAGGCATCTGCACAATTTGGAGCAAGATTAAACAAGGTAACGAGGTGGAATTGGCAGATTTGACTACTCATGCAAGTCATACCAGGGTTTTGGCCGCTCTGGGCTCTGTCGTGGCCGGAATCCTGCGTAGCTGTTCCGGCTATGCTGGTTTTTGGCCTTGGTTGCTTGCCACGGGGCCGCGGCGCCAGGAAAACGCAAAAACGCGCGTAGATCGACGATCTACGCGCGATTTTGCGTTATACCAGGGTTTTGGCCGCGCTGGGCTGTCGTGGCCGGAATCCTGCGTAGCTGTTCCGGCTATGCTGGTTTTTGGCCTTGGTTGCTTGCCACGGGGCCGTGGCGCCAGGAAAACGCAAAAACGCGCGTAGATCGACGATCTAAGAACCAGGACTAGGAGGATTAATTACGGATTCCACCTAATTTCGAAGTCTCCAGTACAAGGGGTCACGTATAAGCAGTAATTTAAGAATTTGGCAGTCCGATTCCAGGGTCCCTCAAATTCTTAACATGCTATGTGTTTGGTATAGCTGAAAATATATAGCCCATCTTGGAACCGAGCCCCTCAAATTCTTATACAGTGCATTCTTGTACAATACTCAAGCTGTAGTAACCCCAACTGAATAGTAATTAATTGTAAACAATATTGAATTTTTGGTGTTGCATAAGATGTTTACCTTGGAATTTCAGAGAAAGCCTCATGTATGTATGTATGTATATACATATATTACATCATATAACTGGATTACTATTACTACATAGAATATATGTATACATACAGACGTGTACTGTATGTTATCATTTGTAATCACATATGTGACTCATGTGATCTGTATATATGTATATCTATATATACACATATGTAACTGGTTGGTGGTTTGGAGCATGAATTTTATGCCTTTCCATTCAGTTGGGAATGTCATCATCCCCACTGACTCATATTTTTCAGAGGGGTAGGTGGCCCCCACCAACCAGATATTTATATATAGATTATATTAACCATATATTAACCATTATATTAACCATATATTAACCAACAAGGTAAAGACATCCTGACTTCATGAACACCGCGGGACCTCGTCGTGGGGCCGCTTTTTTGGAGCACAGGACCCGACAGCCAAGTGCTTCGATAGCAGCGTGACCACTTGGAGCGAGAGTCAAAGGACCTATTGCTGTGAGGCCACCGGTGGGACCTCCCGGTCGACCTGGGTGGGATATTCTGGGGGTGTTTAACTGTTGATTTATTTTTGGAGTCAAAAAACAAAGATGATACATATGTCATCAATCATAGGGGTAAACATTTATAGAGAATTTATATAATATACATTTATCATAGGGGTAAAGTCGACAATCATGATGATTGTAAGGTAACTATAAAAAGCTGTTTGGCTCAGCCTGTAGGGGTTTCCCAGGAGCCAGGAGCCATTTTTTCATGGTTCCTTTGGAGCTCTGGCTGATCAGCAATTTCTGAGGATTGGCCAACTCAAACTGTTTGTTTTCCCTAATGCAGTTGACCAAAACCTCTCCAACCGGATAAAAAAAATCCAGGCAGATTACAAGGGGTAGCTTATGGTTTCACCATTTGCTCAAATCATTCTAGTAGTGTTTGATGTGTTTAAACTACCATGTTCGCATATGTATATATTGTAATGGTTTATTATGTTTTATGAAGTGATTATGTCACCATGTTCACTGCAATGACAGAAATTCTTGCGACATTTATGGGCCACATTTCCATACATTTCCCGCATCCGCCATGGCCTTCCCTTAGGTGGTGGGCCATGGCTGCCATTCTCAGCGCTCGTCGCTCAAGTCGCCCAACACTCCGAAGCGCCTGCCGCATGATGCCCTGGAGCGGATCCAACTGCCTCCTGTGACCGTGCCCGTGGGCCAGAAATTTGAAGTGAAACTCGGCGAAATTTGGAATGGAATGGGGTGGAGATATACTTTATAGGATTTTATAGGAACATATCGGAACTATCCGATATTTGGATATATTTGGAAATAGACCCTATGTGGGAATGTTGGCTATTTGGGAATGTTGGCAGGATAATTTGTTTTGGCCGGAAAAATATGTATCAAAAATCAAGCAGTAAACATGCAAGAGCCAGTCCAGAGCTATATAATTTCACCGCGTTTGCGCTGTTTTTTTTTCGTTAATCTTCAAAATGGGGTTTATTCTTGGGCCATTTTGCTGTAGTTGGGGATTGCAACTGCGGAAGCTGGCTGAATATAAGGCTTTGTCTGTCAGACCATCATAGGTTGACAAACAATGCATGCTAGGGTTTGCTAATTATGGTTCAATGAAACAGAAGTTTTGTGCCTTGATTCTGCCTGCAGAAAAGCAAAGAGAAAGTTGGGATTCCAATAACTTCTCCCAGGATCGGACGAAATCATCAATGGTTCATGGCAATATTTGACTGAATAATCAACCCATTGATTCAATTTTATTCTGATATGTGCCAACTATGGAAATACATCATACGTATATGTATAGGTGATATGTATATACATATATATATATACATAATACATATATATATATACATATTATGTATATGAAATAAATATGCTATATATATTTATATATACATATGAAATAAATATACTACACACACATATATATATACATATGAAATAGATATGCTACATATATACACATATATATATATTTATACATATGAGTGCATATACATTATAATATATGTGTATATATATATATATGCATACCCCCCATGACATCCTCATTCTTTCCTGTTTTTCTCCACAGCTTCTCGTTCCCAGGCCCATCGGCTTCTTCTTGGGCGGCGATGTGATGGTCACCGTTGATGACAAACCGCAAAGTTGGCTCCACTTCGATGAAAGGCGATGCGATGGACAGATCATGGTATCCTATATAGCATTGACTATCCATGATTTGTTGTTCTTTCCATTGGATACCAAGTCCATGGTATCATAGTATATGTTGATCTTTCCATATATCATGGTATTGTATTGATATATGGACTATGGATATCTATTAATCAAAGGAAGTTGGGAAGCAATACTTCCGTGTTACGGACAAATAGAATTCTGAGACTTGAAATGATGAAGGGTGGTGCGCGATTGAGACTTGACCTTGATGAAGGGTGGTGTGAGACTTTACATGACATAACAATACATCACATTGAGACTTGACCTTGATGAAGGGTGGTGTGAGACTTTACATGACATAACAATACATCACATTGAGACTTGACCTTGATGAAGGGTGGTGTGAGACTTTACATGAAGGGTGGTGTGAGAGTACATGAAGGGTGACGAAGGGAAGTGGTGACGAAGGGAAGTGGTGACGAAGGGAAGTGGTGACGATGGGAAGTGGTGACGAAGGGAAGTGGTGACGATGGGAAGTGGTGACGAAGGGAAGTGGTGACGAAGGGAAGTGGTGACGAAGGGAAGTGGTGACGAAGGAAGTGGTGACGAAGGGAAGTGGTGACGATGGGAAGTGGTGACGAAGGGAAGTGGTGACGATGGGAAGTGGTGACGAAGGGAAGTGGTGACGAAGGGAAGTGGTGACGAAGGGAAGTGGTGACGATGGGAAGTGGTGACGAAGGGAAGTGGTGACGATGGGAAGTGGTGACGAAGGGAAGTGGTGACGAAGGGAAGTGGTGATGAAGGGGAGTGGTGACGAAGGGAAGTGGTGAAGAAGGGAAGTGGTGACGAAGGGAAGTGGGCGCATTGGACTGGCTGCAGGGGCTTGTGTTGGGGAGAGGAAGCTGAGCACGAACCCTGTTTTTTTTTTTTTTCCATGTCAAATGTGCTGCAGGGCCTACGATGAAAGTAGCCATCCGTGTGTGCGACGTGTGCGGCTGTTGGTCCCGTTCATGCGGCGAATTGTTCCTCCTATGTGTTTTGCAACGAGTGGTTGTTCCTGTGTGCGTAGTTCTATGCGGTTCTTGAAGCTGTGGTTGCAGATCGCATTGGGATGGCTGCATGAATGTTGCATGGGTTATGTTTTGGGGAGGAAGCCGGAGCACGAAACCTTGTGGTTTTCCGTGTAAAGTGGCTGCAGCCGGCGAAGAAAGGTACCTCGTCTGTGCGGCGGGTGCGGCTGGGGTCGTTTCATGCGCGAATTGTTCCTCCTATGTGTTTTGCAACGAGTGGTTGTTCCTGTGTGCGTAGTTCTATGCGGTTCTTGAATCTCTGGTTGCAGATTGCATTGGAATGGCTGCATGAATGTTGCATGGGCTATGTTTTGGGGAGGAAGCCGGAGCACGAAACCTTGTGTTTTTCCGTGTAAAGTGGGCTCAGCCATGGCCTGCGCCCCCGGCGATGATCAAGGTCTATATCCCTCGTCTGTGCGGCTTGTGCGGCTGGGGTCTTTCATTGCCGAAATTGTTCCTCCTAGTTTTTTTGGCCCACCCCTTGCAAACGAGTGGTTTGTTCCTGTGATGCGTAGTTTCTATGCTGTTTCTTGAATCTCTGGTTGCAAATATCAATCGATTGGATGGCTGCATGAATTTGCATGGGATATGTTTTGGGAGGAATCCGGAGTAACGAAACCTTGTGTTTTTTTCCCGTGTAAAGTGGCTGCATGCGGCTGATGAAGGTACCGCCCAGCAAATGTAGAATCGCTGTGCGCTGGTGCGGCTGGGTCGTTTTCATGCGTCGAATGGTGCCCTCTATGTGTTTTGCAACGAGTGGTTGTTCCTGTGTGCGTAGTTCTATGCGTTTCTTGAGTTTGTGTTTGCAGATCGCATTGGAATGGCTGCATGATGTTGCATGGGCTTTGTGTTGGGGAGGAAGCTGGAGCACGAAACCTTGTGTTTTTCCGTGTAAAGTGGCTGCAGCCGGCGATGAAAGGTACCTTGTCTGTGCGGCGGTTGCGGCTGCGGTCGTTTCTGTCGCGAATTGTTCCTCCTATGTGTTTTGCAACGAGTGGTTGTTCCTGTGTGCGTAGTTCTATGCGGTTCTTGAAGCTGTGGTTGCAGATCGCATTGGGATGGCTGCATGAATGTTGCATGGGTTATGTTTTGGGGAGGAAGCCGGAGCACGAAACCTTGTGGTTTTCCGTGTAAAGTGGCTGCAGCCGGCGAAGAAAGGTACCTCGTCTGTGCGGCGGGGGGGGGGGGCCGGTGTGCGGTGGGTCGTTTATGCGCGCATGTTCCTCCTATGTGTTTTTGAACGATTGTTTGTTCCTGTGTGCGTGTTCATGCTTGAATCTCTGGTTGCAATGATCGCATTTGGAAAATGGCTTGCATGATGTATGCATGGGTTATGTTTTTGGGAGGACCGGAGCAGCAACGAAACCTTGGTTTTTTTTTCCGTGAACAGTGCTTGCATGGCGGCGAAGAAAGGTAACCGGAAGAACAATGGGCTATCTTCTTTGCAGCGGGGTGGCGGCTGTGGTCGTTTCATGCCTAATTGTTTCCGCCTATTTGGGTTTTCGGCAACGAGTTGTTTGTCCGCTTGGTTGCACCGGTAATTCGTAGTGACGTACACAACTGAGCTGGGTTCTTGAATCTCTGGTTGCAGATTGCATTGGAATGGCTGCATGAATGTTGCATGGGCTATGTTTTGGGGAGGAAGCCGGAGCACGAAACCTTGTGTTTTTCCGTGTAAAGTGGCTGCATGCGTAATACTATTGCCTTTTGCAGCTGAGCATCGTAAATCGTATTGGAATGGCTGCATCCACGCTGCGATAGTGATTTGTCAGCAGATTTTCTCAACTTTGGCGCTAGTAATTTTCCTTTAAACATTCCTTTTAAAAAGCGCTTCAAAATCGTCTTTTTGTCGCTTTGGCGTCGAGATCCGGTTTTGGAGCTGCAATTTCCGACGCCGTTGCGCGTAGTTCTATTGTGCCTGGGCCTTCCAACTCCTAAAAAATATCAGTCGTTTTGCACAATCAGGCGTTTCATCAAATTTATGGTCGTATCGAGCGTTTCCCCAAAAAGTTAGGCGTGGTATGTCATTGCCGTGTTTCCCATCGGCATGGCCCTCCTCCCAGTCTTCTCACCAGTATTTTGCTTTCAATCTGCACATCCAAGTCGGTTTCTGTTTAATTGCGCGCTCCCAAAATTATACAAAATTACCAGATTCTTGGATTTGCGGGCGTTTGCGGGCGTTTTGCGGATTTTTGCGGGCGTTTTGCGGGTAATTTTGGGCGCAGTTATGTGCATTTATATGTGTTGGTGCTCGGGATATGAGAATGGCCTGGTATGTCCCTGGGACGCAGCCAGGATGCAAGCCATGTTCAGTCATATTCAAAACTACCAAAAATAATTGATCGAAGGAATGTTCAGGTGTTTTGCAACTCAGTCTTTGCAGATCGCATTGGGATGGCTGCGTCAGGGTTGCTTGGCGCAGCGGCTGCATGCGTAATACTATTGTCTTTTGCAGCTGAAGATCGTAAATCGTATTGGAGTGGGTGCATCAAGGCTGCGACAGTGATTAGTAGTACTGGGAAGTGATTCATGAAAGCTTAGATGACATATGAGAAGAGATGAGATGAGAAGAGATGAGCTGGGATAAGGCGAAGGGCTCAAGATGAGATGAAGTGTGGAGTGTGAAGAGTGCAGTGTGAAGTGTGGGGCGTGAAGGGTGCAGTGTGAAGTGTGAAGTTTGGAGTGTGAAGAAAACAGTGAGAAGTGAGAAGTGTGGACTGTGAAGTGTGGACTGTGAAGTGTGAAGTTTGGAGTGCGAAGAGTGCAGTGTGACGTGTGAAGTGCGGAGTGTGAAGTGTGGAGTGTGAAGTGTGAAGTGTGGAGTCTTAAGAGTGCAGTGTGAAGTGTGGAGTGTGATGTGTGGAGTGTGAAGACTGCAGTGAGAAGTGCGAAGTGCGAAATGGAGCTTCAAATGTGACATGTGAAACAAGACATCAGTTCCGCAGAGTGCACGCACGCACCGGCTTGGCTGGCGCACGGCGCAGGCAAGTTCTATAGATGAGAAAGGTCTTATATATACCTTTAAGGCAACTTCCGCCCCGCCTCCTGCGGGTACTACTGGTAATAACAATCACGTGTATTATAGTGTATGATGTCCATACCCTCTGGTAATTTAACAGCTTGCTATTGAAAACCACTCATTTATGTATAGTTGATTTTGCTGTTTTCACATGGTGGTTTTCCATAGTTATGTTAGTTTACCAGAGGGTAGATGTGGGTTTAACCGGTTTAACCCACCACTTGTAGATCATGTTCCTAAACACAAACACATGGCTTTTCCACATCTACGTATCCACGTTTACCCTAGGCCCCAAACGGCTAGTTGTTTTTTTGTTAAAGCATCCCCCAGAAAGATGCAGAAGAAACGGCCGTCCGTAGGGAGCAGAACAACCCAACTTCCTTGGTTTGCTTCTGGTATTGTCTTATTTTTCCCCTGGGAAATCCACTACTTAGGGAATATATGTACGCATAGCTCTGTGCGAGATAGGTGGCCTAAATATGTTAAGACAAGGTTAAGCAGCAACAAACAAAACTTACTTCTTGAGTCTGCATGCCAACCATGAAAAGCCATGAGCAGCCGCAAATGAGGGGAAAGAGGGGACCGGCTCAGTATAATCTGGAGCAACGCGTTCCTTTGCGCCGAACAGTGGCTGGAGGCAAGAGGTGAAGAATTGAGAGCCCAATCCATTTCTGCCTTCATTCTCCTGTCTGACGGGAAGGTGGTCGGTGACGGGTTGCAAGGGCTACGACCATCAAGTTCAGTATGTCCGAGAGACGGACGTTGGGACATCACATAAGGCCTGGTGATTCAGTGCTCACGTACAGCCGAGAGGCGCATACCAATTTGTACGCCAAGGTGCTAGCATGTTTTCGCGAGATAAAACTTGAAGGTGTCAAACCGGATTCATCAGCGCTGGAACGGATCATGGAAGCGGCAGATGCAATGACAGCAGGACTCCCTGCCCATCCGGAGGGCATTCCCGCAGACAATGAGATGGCAGGAGCAACTGATCTCGTTGAAATCTCTTCAGAGCCTCCAAAGAACACGCCACACGCAGCAAAGGAACCCAGGATGCACTCAAATACCCGATCTCGACCGCAAAAATTCCCTACTATCCCACCGCAACTCACGTCCGAGCTGTTACACTGCTTGTCCACCTTGCCTGACCCGTGGCCGCTGGCCAAAATCACAATTCACTTTTTCGATGGCTGAGAGTGCGACCCTGCATGAAAATCGCGACCAACCTACCTAGAGCACAGGATCCACCCGAACATGGCACCCGGCGCTCCTTGGCAACGGCAACCACAGGCACCCGACGATATATATATATATATATAATATTGGGGAATACTGGATGATTTATGTTTTTTGGAGTGCCTTCAGCAAATCCAAGACTTAAATTTTGCTACCTATTTTCAGAAAGGACCAGCCACCTCTTTTTTTTTCTCTCGTTTTTCATTTCTCATTCCCAAATGCTCCATGGAAAATTTACACCCCAAAAACGCTCCAAAATGTCAATGTCAATATTCCATAGAGCATTAAAGAAACGGGATGTTCCACTGATTCGCCATGGATTTTTCCATGGATTTTCCATGTTTTTTTCTATGGATTTTCCATGTTTTCCCCATGGATTTCCTATGTTTCATGCCATAAATGCCAGCTTTTTGCTGCTTTCCAGGCACGGTACCCTGCAGGGTGAAGCCATCGCGCTGGGCTCGTGGCGTGTGGCGCTGCACCCGGAGGCCTACAGCGCGCCCGGAGAGCCACGGGGCAAAGCCGAGATGGAACTCTTCGTCGTAGGTGAAACACCGCAGATGCAGATGGGATCTGGGGTATCTACAAGGTATATCTTGTTATATATATATATATGGGTAAATTATAACGACCTGGTCATTATCTTATATCTTGTTTCATATTATATGATGTAAAAGTAAATATATATATATATATACACACACACCATCTGGTTATGACTAACAGTTCTCCATTCCCTTATAAATGGAGGTTTCTAGCTGGGAAAATCATCTATAAATGGGCAATTTTCCATGGCTATGTTAAATAACCAGAGAGTGTGTATATATATATAGTAGTTGATATAGTTGGTATTCATAGTTGGTATTCATAGTTGGTATTCATAGTTGGTATTCATAGTTGGTTATATTTGAAGATAACAATAACCATATATTATATGTATATATATATATATATTATATATATGGGTTATATTTGAGATATATTGTTGTATATAATATAGTAACTGATATATTTCAATATATTTCATCTATATCTATTTGAAACCACATTTGTTCTGTAGAACTAACCTGGTTATATATAATATATCTGGTTGGTGGTTTCAAACATGGCCTTTATTTTCCATAATATATGGGATAATCCTTCCCATTGACTTTCATATTTTTCAAGATGGTTAAAACCATCAACCAGTATATATTAACTGATATATTGTTATATTATAATAATTTGTATATAGTAACTATAATATTAACACTATAATGAAATATTCCCATAAATGGTATTATATATATCTACTCAGATGACGGAATATATGACATATTGTAACTTATAATCAGTTGACTATATTGTATTATATGGGGAAGATATAACTATCAGTTGGATGGGGAATATTATTACTCAGATGATGGGGGAGTTAGATCTAAGTGGGGGATCTACAATAACTATGGGAAACTTTATATATGAGGGTTTCCTACAATGGGGGTATATACCCCTTTATCGCTGGATGGTTTATACATGTTTATTTCATGGAACATCGCATTGAAGTGGATGATTTAGGGGTGTCCCTATTTTGGGAAACCTCCATATATATGTATATATATATACATACATACATACATAATCAGTTGATGGGAGTTGAATGATGGATATAACTATGATCAATTGATGGGAGTTGAATGATGGTTGGAGAAATAATTTAAACATTTTACTAATGATGATTTATGGGACTATTGTGACTATGAATGATTATTTCTATGGGATTATGAGGCTAGTTTCTTAATGCCCTGGGGGATCCTCATGATCGAATGACTTGAAAAATGGAGGCATCCCCACGACTTGGGATGGGAAGTTTAAGGACTTGGGAAGTTTCCAGGGGTTGATGCTTTGATATTAATACAGTAGGGCCGATGGTGATGCTTACGGAATTCCTTGGGATGATGGATTCTGATGGATTATGGTTTTCTGAGGCCGTCGAAATCCCTGCTTTTGTCGGACAAGTAGGGTCAATCCACTGATAACTGGGGTTTTCACTAAGCTTACTAAGTGGGATGAACCACCAAGGCGGAAAATCATGCTGGATTCTTTGGGTCTCTGAAACTTTAGAGTGAACCATGGGATGACACACACTCCATTGAACCACAACCTGGATGAGTATGAAGTATGCTTCAGGATTGTTCTGACTATGTTGAAAGAAGGACATATGGTATGTACTGTATATAATATAATAGTATATATATATATATATAGTGATAGTGTTGAGGTTGGCCGTGCAGATCGAGGTGTACGTCGTCGCAGCCAGTCGTGTGGGGTTTGTCCAGTCGCATCGCCAGACATCAAGTCCTTGGAGCCAATCTAAGATGGGATGGTTTTGACCACCGAGGTACCCTCTGGTAAACTAACATAACTATGGGAAATCACCATTTTATAGCTGGGTAAATCAACTATTTCGACTGGGCCATTTTCTATGTCGCAAACTGTAAATGTTTACCAGAGGGTATCACAAATTCCTAGCACAAGGGAAAATAATGAAGAGTAAGAAGATGTGGCGCGGGTGTGCATATATCCGTGTACATGATTGACAACATCCACATGACATCACTATCAATGTTGGTGAGTATGTAGCCAGCTAACTATCCAAAAATGGCCCAGCATTGTAGGTGGATGAACTATTATCATTCGGCCAGATATGTGTATATATATATATACATAACACATACATGCATTCATATATATATATAGACATTCATATTACATACATAAGTGTATAGTATATATAATTATATATAGTATAATATATATAGAGAGTATATCTATTTTAGATATGTGCATCGTCCTAGTACTCTATATGTCGGTCCACACGTTTTTTCTGGCCCACTGCCAGATGCGATGCCGGTGAGCCCGTCACCGGGCACCTTGGCACCGATGCCTGGCAAGCCCTTGCTGGTGCAACGCATTCCAGATCTGCATGCGGTGCTAGGCACGGATGGGAAAGACCTGGAGCTTTCCATGAGGAGAATTCACGAAAAGGGTGGGTTTTTCCTTCTGAAAACGTCAAAAATTTGCTGAAGATCATCCAGTTGACAACTTTTGGATGTGTGAAAAATTTAGGCATCCGTTCATGGGGGTATTTTCACAACAACATGGGGACAAGTGATGGAGTTGCACCATTTTGCGTTTGGGAAATGAATGGGTCCCATTGGTGGATGATTACAACCATTTTAATGGTGATACTTGTATGGTGGGAATATAAAGGCAGAAACATTAGGATATGTATGTATATACTGGTTGGTGGTTTCAAACATTGCTTTCATTTTCCATAATATATGGGACAATCCTTCCCATTGACTAATACTTTTCAAGATGGCTAACACCACCAACCAGTATACCAATCCCAATCCTCTTTTTGATTCGTCATGAATTGTGGGAATTGATGTCACCATCAAGTTCAGGATTTACTCTCTGGATCTGTCAATGTAACATGGTAACATGGAAAATCCATCATTTTGTTGAGTAAATCACCTAGTAATTTAACAGTTTGCTATTGAAAATGGCAATTTATAGTTCATAGTGTTTTTCCATAGTTATGTTAGTTTACCAGAGGGTAAATCACCTAGAAAGGGTCACATTTCCATATCTATGTTAAATTACCGAAGGGCATGGTAAGCGTCCCCAGAATCGTCGCTGGGTAAGGACCCATATGATATAACCCATGCATAAGCATGGTAACTCATTGGATATTCTATATATGTACAATAACCATATATAACCCATATGCAAGGTTTTAATCTGCAACCCATGTGCAAGGGTTTTCATTAATGCACTAATATAAGTTAGAAGCCACTGAGTAAGTTATATGAGGTCAGCCATTGTGGAGTTTGGGGTGCCGCGACAGTGCCAGGTCAAGAATTCGAATCCATCATTCCCAGAGGGAGCAGCTTGTCTCAACATGTTGAACTTGCCACAGTTTCCTGGGTTTTTTGTCCGAATTGCGATTTTTAGATGCCAGGGTCAGGGTCCCCATACTTCAGTAATCTTCAGTACATTGTTTCGATGGTGGAGACATCTTTGGGTGGCAAAAAAACGCAGGGTTTCCCCACAGGGTTTCACCTTGGTAGGCCCTGCCATGTGAGAATCGGCCTTGATTTGCACCGGAGGCATCCCGTCTCCAAAACCTCCCTTCTAAAATGTCAGATGCACTGAAACAGAATTTATATGTCAGACAGAATGTCGGAATATACCCTCTTGTAAACATACAGAAAACTATTTATGGAACATCACCATTTTATAGCTGGGTAAATCAACTATTTCTATGGCCATTTTCTATGTCGCAAACTGTAAACGTTTACCAGGCCGGGTATGTGAGGTGAGACGAAATGTCAGATATGACGTCAGATCAGATTTGGACTTGGATTTTTGACGTCAGATTTGGATCACCGGGAGCTTGAATGTCAGATAGAATGTCAGATAGACCGTCGGAATTTATGATATTTATGTCGGATAACATGTCAGATAGCATTATATGTCTGATATAAGTTAAACCTGATAGAATGCCAGAAAGAGTGCCAGATAAAATGTCTGATAGCATTCCCGATTTCAAGTGCCAAGATATATACACGTCCTGGATGGTGAAGCGAAATCCGAATCACCAGTTGAGGGATGTGGGTTTCACATCCCATGTTTTTTAATTATAGGGAATCTTCCACGGCGGTGAAGGATTAATCAGTCTTGTCAGGCAGGGCATCCTTATTGTTTTTCGAAATTTGGACACACATCATGGGAAAGATGGAACACAATTGGAACACATTTACATATATCATGTAAAAAATCCATGATGGTTTGAATGGGGAAAATCAAGTTCGATATTTGATGTGATTTCACTAGGATATTTTACGAGCACTTGCACAGCCCGCCCGTTGTTTTTTTTCAATATTGTGTCTCACATCTTGACTCTGGTTGGTGGTCATTGGAACATAGCTGGATTATGACTTTCCATAATTGGGAATGGAATAATCATCCCAACTGGCGAACTCCATCATTTTTCAGAGGGGTTGTTTTACCATCAACCAGTTTTCTACTGATTGCATGGAAATATATACTGTAGATTGCTGCTTCCACAATATGGTGGTTAAATCCTCATTGTTCTGATCAAGTTCCCATTGGTGGCACGATTACGGGCGGCGACGGCAGCTAAGTTGATACCGGGTGAGCAATGCCAATTTCACGTTCTGTGATCCTTTTCAGTCCTTCACTACTGCTTGGGGGATTCACAGTTCCTGCATTTGTCCATGGTTCCTCCCAAAGAACCAAGAATAAGTTAGTAAAATAGAATCCCGACAATCGTTTTAAGATTTGACTATATCCACGTGTTTTCTTTTTCAGATAAACATCCCATGTGAATCACCATCACAACGAGAACATTTGAGTTGCAATCAGGTGGGTAACGCAGACTTTACAAACTTTACGAGGACAGCAACAAGGTTGAATCAAGGAAGTAAGGCTATATATATATATATATGATATTTGGGGATGGATCACACCCTCTAAAATACATTGAAATACCACATTTGGGGATGAACATCCACAATTACCAACTGCTAAAAATGATGTGAACAGCATGGACGGAGGACCAACTCCCGGAATAGATTAACGAGGTGAGGCAGAATGATGAGGTGAGAAAGGTGAGACACATTAGGATTACCATTACAATTTATGACTGTGGTGCCGTTTTCAAAGAATGACACGCACAAATCAAGAAGTGCTGTCTACTGTAGGACATGGCATGCAGTTTGGACGACCGTTCATAGCATGGCCCCTGCACAAGGATCTTACTGATTGCACATGGCTCAAGAAAAGGGCAGACTTTTGCACCTGCCTTTCGCAGGTTATGAGCCCAAGCCTTCACTGGCTTGGGTGTGCGGTGCCGTAATGGAGCGCAGGCGCCGGCAGCACCACGAGACGGCAGATCAGCGCTTGGATAGGCTGATCGAGATGGAGAGGAGGTCAAAGCTGGAGGCTCCCCAAGTGCCCGAGGTCCGACGACTGAAGGTGACTGAGGGGGACGTGGCCGCTTCGACACCAGAGCCACGACGAGATGAAGGTCGTGGACAAGGTGGAACTGAAGGACCACAAGGGCAGGTGACCTCACTCCAACTTGATGCAGAACCTCTAGGACCTGATGGCCTTCTTGCTCCGCTGTTTCATGAGTCTGGGCAGGATGAAGCTCAGACGGTGTTTCGACGAAGGCTGGACGAAGATGATGACATTCGCCCTGCCGTGGCAGCTGAACGAGGGCTTCATGGAGGACCTAGCGCTGCTGGAGCTGGTTTGGAGCTGGCTCGGAACCTTTCTACCCTAAGTCTCTTTTTCTATTAAATTTAGTAGACTTAAAATTTACTTAAATTTCGTGGTTTAGTAGACGAAATTTAGGTAAATTTCCTAGTAAATAGTAAAGTAAATGAAATTTACTAGTACTAGTAAATTGATTTAGTAGTACTAGTAAATTTTTTGAGCATGATTTTCACATTGTAAATACTAGTTACTTTGTTCTAAGAGTTAGCACATTTTGTGCATGTTTCATTGCTTATGCTCAGCAATTGTATTTGTCATTTTGTGAATTTTTGAAACACTAACTAGAAGAACGACATGATTTGAGGCTTGGGACTGTGCTTCACTGCTGCTGAATGTTTTTACTTGAGATATTATTACTTGAGATTTTTTCCACCAGTAATTTTTGGGCATTTATATAGTTACCTGGTCACAGTTAAATCATCAAGCAGTTTGGTGTGGCCTGCAGGAATTTTAACCAGTACTGAATGAAAATTACTTGAGTTTACATGAGACCTAGCAGCTATTACTTTTGAGCTGTGCAAAAAACAATGTGATGATGTATTATCTCAAGATTTGCACAGTGTGGACAAGAGGTCCCAGCCATGGCTAGGTTAGAGGCAGCATTTGCTGAAACTGTCGCTGCCCTTGAACATGAGAGGTCTAAAAAGGCCACCCAGAGAGTGAGGTTGCTGGCTAATCCTTTGATTAGTGTGAGTGAGATTCAAACAACACTGGAATCTTACACCAGGCACTGCAAGAGCAGCAACCTTTACTCTCTGATTTGCCCCCCTGCTAGTTTGGCAATAGTCACTTGGCAGACGCCTCCAAGCGGCCCATGGCTCTCCAAAGTTGCACCGCTGTTGTATGATCTGTTGGACTTTTGTCCCAACACAAAGTTGCAGCACAGCAAACTTTCCAAGGCATTGGTAAGTATGCAGTTGAACCATTCCTTGGAGCTGCAGCAGAAGATGACAGCCCAGGACGCTATGGATCAAATATCCTTATGCATCAGAATCGTGCTGTCAATGCTGAGGCAAGTCAAGATCAATGAAACCCAGAGAAACAGGATCATGAGAGGGTTCAGCAATGAAGAACAAACCAAGTTGAATATGGTGCTGAAAAAAGTTGTTTTACCTGTGGGTTACGTGGAAGATCAAGAGAAATGCGAGGAAGCTGAAGAGTGCCAAGCCCAACAGCTGGATCTACAGCCATGCCTGGCTATGGTTCCTTACAAAGGGGCAGAGCCAGAAACAAAGACAGCAGAGAGGCAGCCAGAGACACAGCCAGCACTGAAGGGTGTTGCCAATGCCTTTTCCAAGTCTTTGTACCCGCTTCTACGACCTTTGCCAAGCATCTTCTCGAAAATCTTGAACAAATCAGCAGACACCAGCCACCCAGCTGATGCAGCCAAGCCAGTGGCAGCCAGGAAAGCTGCCAAGCAGCTCCAAGATGAGGATTTGCTGAAGGAAGCGATGAGCCATGTTCCCAAGGAAGTGAAAGAGGCAAAATTGAAACCACCAAAAGGATCTGACCAGAAGAAGACCAAAAAGAAAAAGAACCAGACAAAGAAGAAGGGCAAAGCATCAAAACAAAGCAAGGATGGCAAGCCTGCAAAAGACAAGAAGAAAGAGAAGACAGAGAACACAGATCCAGCACCTGATGTTCCAATGTATCATGTGCAAGAGTATCCAAGTGAGGCAGATACTTACCGCAACCTATATGTGAGCCGACACCACAACCGAGCAAAGGCCTTGGCCTTGCAAGGTGGCCTTTGTGCAGAAGATGCAAAGGAAAGAGGCAGAAAAGCTGCCAAGGAAGCTTCTGCCCTGTGGAGTGAGGTCCGTGGCTAATGTTTTGGCAGGTTTGCAGAGATTCTTCTGAAACATGAAGAATCTAGTAGGGGTGCAGTCCTGCAGTGATCTGACTGAACCTGCTGAAGGAATAGCGGGATTTTATCTGGGATCCAAGAGCAGAAGAGTTGGGGAAAAATGGTTTTGCTGCTGCATGAAATTACTTGTGATTACTTGAGTTTACTTGTGATTACTTGAGTTTACTTGTGATTACTTGAGTTTACTTGTGATTACTTGAGTTTACTTGTGATTACTTGGGTTGAGGCATTACATGTGGTATCTTTATCTAATCCATATCTATATATTTGAAATCCATTAAAGGGAAAAATGTGTTCTTCTAAAATACACACATATATATATATATGTATATCCAAAAATAATTACTTGTGCCAAAGGGTTGCAGTTACTGAGGGTTACTATGGCTCTGGTGCCAGGTTCAATGTCTGCTTATGTTCATGTTCAATGCAGTTTTCCTCCCAGGAAACTCAAACAACAATGGTTTTCTGTTAAAAAAAAGAGAGCTACAAAAGAGATATGAGAAGTTCAGGTTTGGGGGCTAAGACCCAGCATTGGGCACCATCATGTCAAACACACACATATATATATGTTATATATAAATGAATAAATATATATATATATATATAATTTTTCGACTTCTGAAGATCACCTGCTTCTTTCAACAATCTTGGGCAGCCATGGCAGATGTCACCCAGACCTTCAGGGTCTACATGAGGAACTTGAGGTACAGTGCTGGCAAAAATCAAGTGAGGTCTTTGGTTGAGAGGATAGGGGCCAACAGCCTTGTGGATATCCAGTTGGTGCGCAAAGACCAGCTCTACCAACCTCAGCACTGCTCGGCTTTCCTGCGTTTCTCTTCAGTTCCATGGCTCTTCAGTTGTTTTTTTTCTGTCTTGTTTTGTGCATTTAGATGGTTGAATTACTTGTGGTTATTTTCTTGTGGTTGTATTATGTGGTTCAATTTGGACCCACCAGGAAGATGATGCTCAGTGGACCATCCAGCAACTGGATGGGTATTACGATATGCAGCTATGCACAGGGCAGCTGGGTTGTTTTTTAATACTTGTGCTCAATTTTTTCCAGTGGCTAATGGTTCTCAAATATTTCAAGGATAGTTTCAAATTTACTTGGGAAGTGATGTTTATCTGATTGAAATAAGTACCTTTACAAATAGATACTTGAGTGAGCAGCATGATCACTGTTTTTCCCACTGAGGTTCGGCAAACCACTTCAAGTTGCTGTAGCTCAGCCTCAACTTGACCTTTGGTGGCAGCAACCTGAGGTGGAATTCCACTTGCCTCAAGCACCTGAAGCACCTCAAGGTCCTGGACCACTACCAGGATATATGAGACCTCCTGAGCCTGGCAGACCTCCAGGAAATTTTCAGGGTCCTAGTGCGCACCAAGCTTTTGGACAACATCATGCTGCTCCACTTCAGCAACTTCAACCACTACATGCACCACCTATGTACCCACAACCTATGCTCACACAAGCATATTCCTTTGGATTTCCACAACAGTACCTACTTCAACCTCATCAAGTTCATCCACCACAACCTTGCAGTGATGCGCAGCTGGATCAGATGCTGGTGGAAGCCCTAAGCAGGCATCGCTTGGCTCCCTGGAACCAAGATGGCACTGTGGCCCCTGCATCTTCAAAGGCAAGGCCTACATGCAAAAGAGCTGCAGCAGCGCCCAGTGTTCCAGAATCTTGCCAACATATTTTTTGTGTCCTGATAGGTTGCATTTACATTTCACCTACTTACTTGAGTTTTCTTTTAAAGTGATGTTTGGAAACTATTTGAAAAGCATCCTGTTTCCAGGAACCTTCGTCTGCAGCTGATGGCAGCACTGAGTCAAGTCCTACTGAAGCTGACAAGGAACCTTGGCCTCCACATGATTTTTCCCAACATTCTTCAGATTGTATGAAGTGACATCTGCAACTCTCATGTTTTTCATTTCTCAACTTCATTTAGAACATTCAACCTTTAATAGGAAACATTGTTGAGGTTTACAACAAGTTTTGTAATCATTTCCATTGTGCAACCCTGCAGGACCCATACCAGTTTGATCACCGACAACTTGAAGAACATCACTTTGGTGACGCTGAACTTCAAAGCAGGCTGTTGGAAGCCCACAGCCAGCAGCAGGAACTTGACAAGACTGAGAATGAAGATGGTGAGGCTGCTTCAGACATCTCACAACCGTCCCAGAACCAAGATACAGAAGTCAAGGATGAGTCTGACCATGAAGAAGGACAACATAGATCAAGAAGCAGGAGCAGGAGGAAATCAAAAAGATCCAGGAGGCAGAGGAGAAGATCTTCCAGTTCAAGCAGTGCTGGCAAGTACTGCAAGTCACTTGAAGACAAATATATATTTTGTTTTGGTTTCTATGTCCACAAAGTTAACCTGTTTGTTTCTTTTCAAATTGTTTCTCAACCCCAAAGTTTTGATTCATTTCACTTGACACAAACTTCACCTAAGGTTGGCCATGAAGGCCTTGCAGATCAAGATGGGCAGGTACTAACCAAAGATCGACCTTTGAACACCGCAGCACAGTGCAGAGATAAAAAAGGTGTGACTGGCTTCAATTACATGATATTACTTGTGCCTGTTTGTGTATGATATTACTTGGGAATACCTGCAGTTACCTGAGATTACTTAAGAGTTGTTGTGGTTACTTGAGATTACTTGAGCCTGGCTGTTTCTGATTGTTTTTACATGTGACTTGTTGTAGTTACTTGAGATTACATGAGACTAGCTCTAGTTTTGGTGTTTTACTTGTGACTAGTTGTGGATACTTCAGAATACTTGTGACAAGATGTGCTTACTTGAGTTTACTTGTGATTAGTTGTATTTACATGAGCTTACATGTGACTCAAGTAAAATCTATTCAGATGTGATCACAAGTAACTATATTTTTGGGGTATGCAATCCATAAGTTCAATTGTTTACTTGCAATAGTGTGCAAAGTCAATCCAGCAACACAAATTCAGTACAAGAATGCCAGTATAGAAACATCCAAAAATGTGTCTTGGTTTTGATGAAAAAATAAGACAAAACATGTGAAAAAATATATTAATTTTATATGAATTTTATGAATTTTATATGCATTTTATATGCATTTTATATGCACTTTTTAAAAATGCATGCATTTTTGAGAAAAGTGCATGTATTTTTATCAAAAATGCATGCATTTTTAAAAAGTGCATATAAAATGCATATAAAATGCATATAAAATTCATATATAATACATACCAAATGTTTCACAAATTATATATATTTATAGAAGAGAAAAATCATTTGTTTGATGGAAAGAATTGATCACACTTTGGCACAAAAGTCTGTTTAAAGCAGCTATGCACTATACATAGTTTAAGCTTTTCATTCTAACATCATTGATGCTTCAAACTATCAGATGATGAACAACTTCAATCCTTTGGCTTCAAAAACAAACCTGGGTGAACAAACAACTTGTGACCTTCAGTTCAAATCCATTCCATTGTCATGCTCTGAGCTAGTCATGGGGAAGGATGATCAACACTTTACACAAGATTACCTGAGATTTATTGAGCTTACTTGGAGTTTCTTGAGACAACTGATGGTTAGCATTTGCTTACCTATTTGTTCACCATTTATTGCTTCACAAATATCAATCAAACAACTGCAGCATTTCATATCCAATTCGCATTGGCTCCTTGTGAGCCTGGTCTTTGACCTTGGGGACCTGGTCATCATGGCTGGTGAGGGTGCATCTCCAAAGAACCCACCTGAGGATGTTGAGGATGTGAATGGAGATGGGGCAGAAGGTTCTGATCATTCTCCTGTGCCAGCCACACCGAAGAAGCCAGCTTCAAAGGTGGCCAAGACCCCAATGAAGGCTAAGGCAAAGGCTAAGGCCAAGGGGTCACCTGTGGCATCACCTAGGGCTTCACCTAGGGGGTCACCCAAGGCAAAAGCCAAGAGTGTCATGAAGAAGTCAAAGACTATGAAAAGGCCTGCAGCCAGCACAGCTCAGGGAAAGAATGTGCCTCTCAAGAGGCCTGCGTCCAAGGCAGGAAGCAAGAAGGCAGAGGCCAGCAAAGACGAAGGGGACCTGGACATGGAAGATCCAGAAGAAGAGCATGAATTCGAGCAAGACACAGAGATTGACTTCCCAGAAGATGAGGGAAAGAAAACAGATCGATCCAAGAAGCAAAAATTTTTGCAGATGGTTTCCAACAAGGAACTCCCAGAGTACATTCTGAAGGAGTGGGAAAGGAGCAAGGGTTTGAAGTCAGGGCGCACTGAGATTCAGCGCAATCTCATCAACTCGATCTTTGACAGAACCTCGGCAGGAAAGCTTCTCCTGTCATTGGCCAAGCCCCAGTTTGAAACCTTGAAGGAAAGCTACAAGGATACCTGCTCCATTCAGAGCAACCGAGCACTTAGCAAGACACTCTTTATGGGAAAATTCAATCTCAACAAAGAGCTTTTCCAGGAGGGACTGGAGGTAGGTGACTTTTTCGAAAACGAAGATGAGAGTGGAAAGAAGACCTACAGCTGGGTGGAGAAAAACCAACAGACCAAAGTTGGCGACCTTACCAAGTTTGGTTCCAAAGCAGCCATGGAGGTGAGCTCACAGGATGCTGTGAAGCTTCACAGCATATCCAAGAACTGGAAGCAAGGCCTGTTCAAGTCCATTGCTGGTGCCTCCTCCGGCTCCAGGGCTCTTGGGCCGCCTGCCCTTATGGATGCCAATGCCCCTTTGACGCAGGTGCAGTGGAAGGATGCTCTGGTCCAGCTTGAGGAATGCATGAGTGCATTCGACAAATGCGAGAAGGAAGCCCTCAAGAGCTTGCAGCTCATTGGGGTCGAGTCCACTAGCGATTCCTTGCACCCGAAGCTGCCTCTTGGATGCATTTTTAGCTATCCCTCTAGTTTATACATCATATTACTTAAGGTTGCCAGAATGGTATTGAACATATAGAGTGGTGCAATCTTGAAATTAAACAATTAGAAAATTCACAAGTAAAAAATGTCCACTTAGACAACATGTTTGTTTTCCTCAAGTAAAGCTATAACTAACAATCAAAATAACACCACCTGAATTTCAACTACATGGTTTTCCTCTATTTGGAAGTGTAGAGTTAGAAGGTTTGCATACAAGTAAGCTCCACAGATGAAGCATGCATACAGTTGTTCAATCTTTTTCAGTCCAGAATAGATTCATTCATGTAGTGTATCCATGGCACAGGTAAAAATATCACAAGTAAAGAATACATGTCTAAATATTCCACAAGTAAAATATTTGAATATAATTCCACAAGTAAAATATTTGAATATATATATATATATGTATATATATATATATGCCCAAGTAAGTATCCCACATGTAAAATATAGGTTGCATATTCTCCTCAGGTAAGTATCTTACAAGTAACCTGTGAACTTTGATTAACTTCATACCTACTTTCTGGACATAGCAAAATTTCCCATAATTTCTTCACCCTTCCAGCTCACAGGAAGGCACTCTTGGGAAAAATTCGCTCATGCCGATCCAACTTGCGCCACATGTATGAATGGAAAGAGTATGAGGACAACACCAAGGTGACTGCAGAGACCTATGATGAGACCATGCTTGCTGCTGGGAAGACGGCTGAAGAAGTTGACGAAGAGTTGGCTGCAGTGAAGGGAGCTCTGAACAAAAGAGCCCAGAGAGCCAAGGCTACTAAGTAGATCTTTGCTTGAGTGTTAAAGCGCAGAGCAGCTGGAGCTACTAGGTTTTTGAAACTGGCCTGGACCATGGCTATGATTTGCCATTTCCAACTTGCAGAAAAAGCAAAAAAAGGTGTTGTTGCCCAGACTTGCTTACATTAGAAAAAACATGAATATTTTACTTGTGAAAAACAGATACCAGACTACCTGTAAATTCCTGTGGCCAGGCAACTTGCCAAGCAATAGCAGTACCCAAGTAATTGAAGAAATTTCATGTGAATATACTTGTGCACCAAAGTTCAAGGTTTGAGGAGCTATACCACCTTCAAGTGAAAGATGGTTTCCATTTCATCAGCTACAAGATCAGCAGTTACTTGAGACAGTCCAAAACAAATGCTTATTGCCACACTTCATGTGCAGCATTGCAGCTTCACATCTTGTGGGAGATCACATGTTTCACTATTTTCTTCAACATGGATAGCGCCCCAAGCAATCCTACAAAGAAGAGAAAAAGAGGCATCCATCAAAGGCTTAGTGCTGCTGAGGAGGAAATGTCAGTGGACAGCTGCCTCTTTGCTTTGTTAATGATCATGTTTGCCAAGGGGATCCTCTCTGGTCACCAGGTGCATTCACTGGCAAAGGCAGGGCAGGAGGACATCAACATGGCATATGATGGTTTTCAGGTCAAGAAGCTCAGGAGACTAGCTGAGCTCAAACAGTCCAAGAACCTGGGAAGGACTGTCTCTACCATGATGACCAAAAACACCGAGCTACCGATGCCCATGGAGGTTCATGTCCCCATGAAAGGATTACCTGAAGGACAATCTTGTAAGAGTATCATGCTACCTCATGAGATTTTTTCCGCGTTTTATCACAATGGTGCAGCATGGACCAAATGTATTTTACCTGACAGCTCCAAGCTGCAACAATTCTGGAGCAGTTTCAGTGGACACCCTTGCTTTGAAGGCCACCCTCTAGAGACACAGTCAGATTATTCAACCCATGTCATTCCTTTGGGAATGCATGGGGATGAAGTACCTGTACTGGGGGTTGGGAAAATTTGGTGCAAATGCGTACTTTTTTTCAGCTGGTTCTCTTTGATGTCTGTAGCTGCTGGCCAACAATTCCAAGACAGCAACCTCTACATTTGGGGGTTGTTCGAAAAATACGTAATTCAAACTGAAAATGGTGTTCTTGGCGCACTGGATACTTTCTTTGCTATTATGCGGTGGAGTTTCCAATGCATTTATGAAGGTACCTTTCCCAGCCTGGACTGGGGAGGCAAACCTTTCCCACGAAATAGCAAGGAATTTCACAAAGCAGGGAAACAACTAGCAAATGGTTGGAGGGGTTGCTTGATCCAGTTGGCTGGCGACCTGGACTACTTCTCTAAGTGGTTTCAAGCTCCTCGGTGGAGTAACCACCAAAAACCGTGCAGTATCTGTCGGGCAGGATATAGAGGACCCTTATCTTGGAGAGACAACAGAAACAATTCTGGCTGGCAGAGTGCCACACTCAAACCCAGCAACTACAGATCACATTTCTCACCAACATCGCCACTGTTTCAGCTTCCTGGGTTTAGTTCTTTGTGCATGGCAATGGATTGGATGCATTGCCACCATTTGGGTTGGCTTCAATACCTGTATGGGAGCATTTTTCACATCTTGGTTTTCATAATACTTCCTGGGGAGGAGCTGGAAAATTTATCCAACATTGCGACTTTCATCAAAACCTTCCAGAAGGAGCACCATGTCAAACACATATACCGGATGAAGCTGGACAAGCTCACTATGTTTCAACCAAAGAAGGGATATCCCAAGCTGAGGGGGAGGGCAGCTGACATTGCAGGGTTGCATTCAGCCATGCATGCTTTGTGGAATCAATTTATGGATGCTTCAAATGTACAACACCGACAAATCAGATTGATTTTATCTTTGAATATGGATATCAACGAGCTCTTGGACACCTATTCACCAACATATGGTTACATGGCAGTTCCTGAAATTCCTGCTGCAGAACTGTTTCAAAAAGGCCTTCAGATGGCCTCACTCCATGGCCGACTGTTGGAAAGCTATGAAGCTCAGGAGATACAGGTGTTTAATATGACATCAAAGACACACTTTGCACTGCACTCCCTTCAGTTTTCTCGGTTTGTGCACCCTTACCTGGTCTGGTGTTATAAGGGCGAAAGCACCATGCATCGAATACAAACGCTTTGGAAGAGCTGTTTGGCAGGCTCAAAACATTGGCAAGTTTCAGGTCGAGCAGCCCTCAAAGAAAGGTACCTGCTTACACTGCAGGGGAAGCTGCGCTGAGCAAACTGCAATGGCTGATGTCGCATTAAGCAATTGTGTGATACTTGTGTCAAACCATATCATATCCTATCATATATATAAAACTTACTTGAGATCTGTGGTTTTCCTTCTTTGCTTATTCTTACTTGTGCAAGATCTTTTGTGTACATATCAATATATGTATTGAACAACAGCTTAGCAGCACTATTTATAACTTGTGGATGAATCTTTTTGTGCACAAGTCCCAAGTCTTTCATGTTCATTTTAGAAATTATTTGCTTTGCTTGCTGTGCTTTCCTCAATCACAACAAGATAACCAAAGAACAAAAGACATGCATTTTTAGGAAAAATGCATGCATTTTCTTTGCTTGCCAAAAATTTACTTTAGTTGACAATTTACTAGTTTAGTAAAGTAAATTTTGCAATTTACGTAAATTTAGCCAAAAACTAAATTTAATAGAAAAAGAGACTTAGGGTAGTGATGCTGGCCGGGAACAAGGGTTCGTGCACCGTGATGGGACGTCCTTGCTGGTGGCATCTACTGGCCTGTTTGGCCAAGAGCGAGGTGGCGCTGGGGTGATGGCAGTGCCTCCTGGAGTCAACGCCTTTTGGAGCGCTGGAGTTCAGCGAGCTGCAGTTCTGGAACAGGTCGCTGATGTGGCAAGACCAGAATCCTTGCCGCCTCTTGCAGGGGCACCTGTGACGTTTGGCCCTGCTGGCTGTGGGGTTGCTGGACATGGGCATTCCGGTGCAAGCCCTGGGCAGGCTGCTTGCGGTAGTGCTGGCCTTGAGCAGGCCCTTGGCGCAGGAGCTCTACATGGAGGCCCTGTGCAGGCCTGTGGTGCTGGAGCTCTACATGGAGGCCCTGGGCAGGCCCTTGGTGCAGGAGCTCTACATGGGGGTCCTGGGCAGGCCCAAGGGACGATGAATGGCGCAGGTCCTGGGCAGGCCTTGGCCATTGGGACGTTGTCTCAACCGTCCCCAGAGAAGTCTGTCGAGGAGTTGAGACTGCGCATCATGAAGGAGGCCGAAGAGAGCTTCGTTAGAGAGGCGAAGAAACTTCGTGGAGAAGAAGGTGAAGGTGGGGAGATTCGGTCCTACCATACAGCCTCAAGTGGAGCTGGTGCGACTACAGGGTCGGTGCCTCCGATGCCAGCCTTGCAGGGGTCGGCAACTACACCTTCACTGGCTATGCATCCCGCTGGACACCTAGCACCTTCTCATCTTGCTGAACGTGGTCAAGTTGGATTGGATGGACATCAACATGGTGCACAAGGTGTTGGTCAAGGATGTGGGATCACTTGGAGCCAGCCGGTGTCACCGATGGCAGTGCATTCACCTGGAATTCCTGGTGGCCAATCTCCTGGACTTCATGGCAGAGCAGGTGCTTCCTACTGTGGCCTTCATGCTGGTGGACTTTGTGGGGGCATGGGATCAACGGCGAACTCACAAGGGTACGCTGCTGGGCCACACGGTGGTGGTCAATTCACTGGTGATTGGAATGCCTCAGGCCCTATGGCGTCTTTTGGAGGTACATCAGGAACTACCTCAGTAGTGAGACCCCCTGGACTTGGAGGACCAGATCAACAACAAGGAGCTGCATCGCCTATGGAGCAGCTGAGAGGCTCTGATCTTCCTCTACTTCCACAGCCAGGTTCAGAGCAGTCGGCCTTACAATTTGGAGACTGGATCACGGTGGTCACTCCAATGATTGGAGATGTTGCTGGATCAGCCCGTGGGTGGTGGAGTGAAATCTTGAGGGAAGCCTCAAACCTCTATGACCGGTGGCTCACATCGACTCCCTTGGAAAGGATCCGACTTCGACCTTTGGAGATCCAGCGCTCTGAGGTGCACCTACGCTTGGAGCAGAGGGTGGTGCCGATGCTGCTGAAGTGCATCCCGGAGCTCATCAAGCAGGACTTGATTGCCAGCCGAACTATGACGGTGACAGGCATCATGTACAGGCTGTGGACTATCTTCCAACCGGGTGGGAGCTCTGAAAGGGTGAGCATCCTCAAACAGCTCACGGAGCCAAAGGTGGCAGCTGGCGCACCGGACTTGCTGGGTGGACTTCGAAGGTGGAGAAGATTGATGAGCAGGTCGTTGGAGTTGAATCTAGCGCTGCCGGATCCGGTCATCTTGGGTGGAGTCTTGCACCGCTTTGCAGATGCGTTGGGAAGGCTTGGTGGCACGCAGCTGGCATACCGAGTGGCTTCGGTGAGGCAGGAGCTTGGAGTGGACATCAGGCCTATGGCCCCATCCATCGAGCAGTACGCTGAGTACCTTCAGTCTGAGGCGGAAGAGCTGAGCCTTGGGATTGGCTTGAAGGCCACGACGGTTGGAGCTCAGGGGGCCACGTCACTGAAGGCTATGGCTGGGTTGGAGGTGCCAACGTCGACGACGAGTGCGCCTACAGGGACTACTTCGAAGTCTCCATGCAAGTTTTGGAAGACCCCTGAAGGGTGCAAACGTGGGGCACAGTGCACGTTCCTTCACGAGACGTCTGACATGAAGGGTCGGTGCTTCAATTGTGGGAGCTCGGCGCATCTTCGAAAGGACTGCACTGCCAAAACCTCATCTACTTCGACTTCTACCTCAACTCCATCGGCTGGTCCGATGGGTGATGGCCTACAACCCAAGAAGGTTTCCAAGGTGAAGGCGACGCCTAAGCCGGCTGTGAAAGGCTCCGCCGGGGACTCTCAGAAGTTGAAGACAGTTGATGGAGAT